GACACAGACACACAGACACAGACACAGACACTTACATACATATATGACCTACCTTTCCACCCTTCAGGTCTGCCTTGATGATTTTGCCGGGAAATCCTTCTTCACCATAGAAGTAGGTGCTGCCACTGTGGATGCATGCATGCATGTATGCAAGCCATGCACAGCAGTGAGCAAGTGCCGTACAACATTAGCTCCGCGATCACTTTTAACACAGCCTGGGTAATCACCAAGCAGGCGGCAGCAGGCGATGATGTGACGCGGTATATGTGCATGCATGGTGCATGGTGGTAGTGTTTGCACTGGAGGATGTATGAATGATGCAACTCGCTATGCTGTCTACTTGCTCAACCATGCATGCATGCGTAAGCATCCAACGATCCAATATTAGGTAGCCATATACCAGGTAGACAGTACCACGAAGCACGCTGGCGTTTCCGAAACACACCGAGTCGGAGCTGTTCGTTTGGCGGCTGGGGTGGCACCCCGGTGGACACGTCGTCTATCCAGCCCTACGTACAACTCCATCATCACGCTAAGCCAGTAGCCCATCGATCACCAACAAATATGTCTTCGGGACGGTCCCTACCTAATGTACGAGAGCGTCGTCTATAGGTGATTGAAATGTTTACTGACGAACAACTTCCCGTTTGTCAAGAACTTACTTGGACTTTCTTATCGAGAAAATTGTTTTATAGTCCCTTGGATTGGCGGCGTAGTACTCAATATTTGGGTTGAAAGTATAATCGTCGAAGCGGTTTGGGACCAGCTTGTTAAGGGTGAGGGCCGTCTGTCCATCCGCGCAGTGCTGCAACAGAACAGTCCACAGGTATCGGCCTTTGTAATCTCCTGGAGTGGACCAGCTGTCCCAACTGTACCATTCATCCACGTTATATACCTGCGGTTGAGACGATAAGCATACACACAGTGTTTTCGTATACAAACACATAGTACACACATATATGTGTATATATATACACATCCACATACAGGATCGATCTCATCACGAAGCTAGCAATAGGGGGAACATAGCTGGCAACCACGCTAATGATCAAGGGCGCCCTTCATGTGTGTAGCCGGCTACACACATGAACCTACCCCAAAACCCTGAATCGCCTTTAGTGGTCGTTTTAATAATACTTGGTCCCCAGCACCCTGTTCGATGGTCAATACTAGAAGTATTGTGCAAGGGATTCCCTTTGGCTGTGTGTTCCCTTTGGTTGTGTGTTCTAGTTTGCGTTGTACAGTGTCCTTAGCCCCTTGGCTCCTACGTGCATGTAGAGATTGAGTGCATGTGGGCCAGGTAGGTGGTACCCTTCATCGATAGCTGCACAGTTATGGGCTAGCTGCAGAACTTCTTAGGGTGACACGTACAACCCTGGTGTAAGAGGTCCATGCATATTTGCTCCGAGAAACCACATACACATGCATATTCAGTTGGCATGCAGCCTGAAAAGCAGGCATAGGCGCCAGAGATAGACGCCCGAGAAAATGCCGCCTAGCCAAGTAGGGTAGATGCTCCGTCGGAGATAGCTCTATACATTTCTTCTATAGCTCTGCTGTCATTCGGCCATGAGGGCGGCTGCATGTCGCATATATGTACACATGTCTAGATAGCAGCGAGGGGCCTCACTGCCGTGTGGCCCCTGTGGCACCGTAATGGGGGCTCGATAGACCGCCTGTCTATCTGTACCTTGCTTCACCACAATTCATCTTGCAATCTTATTAGCTGGGGCACATGCATGCATGCATGCATGCATGAAACCCAAGTAACCTACACCCAACTCAGACAGCTGCAGGCAGATAGCTAGAGTGCATCACCACACACCTCGCTGGACGGCAGGAAGCAGGTTATCATGGTGTTGGGATCCTTGAGCACGCCAAGCAGCCCCGTGTAGTTGAATACACCCAGCATGGGACGCAGCTCGGGAGTTGCGGACATCAGGTCGTACAGGGTCTTGTAGACGGTCACATTGCTGGGGGCAGCGGTTAGGCTCCTTGCAGCATCACCTGTACATATGTACACCCACACAAGGTATAACAGAACAAGGAAACAACCTTTTGCTGCTTGATGCAGTGTAAGCTTCACTGTCACGCTCAGTCCTGGCGGGAGGCTGGCCACCTCGGAGGCAGGACCTCGTGGGCAATAATGTCGGGATATCCGCTTCACTAGCTACTTCCTCCCCGCAATCCCTTGACGAAAAGCAAAGATAGTTATCACGGAGTGGCGGTGGGTACAGCCAAGCGGCGGGCAGGATTCGAGCAAGCAAGGGAGCTTGTTGTGGTGCGTGCAGTTAGCTCACGAGAGCAGAGGTTCGCTAGTAGTGGGGGCCTATCTGCTGCTAAGAAATTGTCGCTGCGTCCTAGCTATGCCCTTCGTAACGAGGCAAAGCACAACAAAGCAAAACCAATTTCGTAACACTACCGGTACTCAGGCCAACGAATGCCGGCCAGTAATGCAGCCAATAATGCCCGACCGGCACACCTCACTTACAAGGTATGCTCCACACTTGGACAAACACGACGGCTACAATAAAAAGAGTTGAGATTTTGCCTTTTTGCATGGCAGGTGCGCTTCAGATTAGATGAAGGTTGGCAATAACAGCAGCAGCACGCAAATATTACGCAGCGTCGGACACACTTCCATCAAACAATACTGTCTATCTTCTGTCTCTTCACAAAAGATCCTTCCTGCTATCCTGCACCATTCAACTTCCCTGAAGGACAGTGCGGCGCGGCGCCTGCAGTACCTAGTCGAGGTCAGATTGCTGCAGACTCTGAGCAGCAGTAACCGCTTCGTGGCAGGTGCGGGCAGTTGGGTTGCTTAACAGACAGCGGAAGCAAAACAGATAGGGAAGGCAGGTTATAGCGGCTGTCTAAGGCGTGGACAGACACGCTGATGAACTCAATCACTACTTCGATGTGCCAGTTCTGCTGCTGTCTTTCCTAGCTATGCCTGCGCCCAGACGTTCACGAGCAGGTAAGTCTTCAGGACCCAAGCTTCGTTTGAGATAATTTATCAAGATTATGATAGCTCGGCTTTGCCATTTCCTTCTGAGAAAGGAGCCCTGCGAACATGCATCGATATATCCGTCTCGTCTCCGTTGGCAGCGGCCCACCCGCCCCAGCAACGCACACGCTCTCCAGTAATTATTTTATAGAATCTAACCCCGTACGTAATAAGTAGTGTATGTAGCTTAGCTTCAAGACCAGAAGGCGGTCAAGGAGGATGCCGGATGGACAATCGAAAGGGAATTTTCCGCAAAAGTTCCGTATCGCAAACTAGGTCAAGATATGCAGAGCCACACATGTTGCATACATACATAGACAGGGCCAGAATGAAAGCTTGCAGTGTGAAGTAACTAGCCTCTGAAAAGCCACTCGAAATGCTGTTCGAGCACTTTGCTTGTAATTGTAGTTAATACATGTGATGTACAGTACCAGCCACTACATTCCTCCCCCTTTGTAGAGATCCGTCCCGGGGCCTTACTGCGTCATACACCAGCCTGTGCCTACCATCGCCTACCCTTGGGCTGTGGGTAAGTAGTTCACGTCACATCATGTAAGGACGTTAGGCCCATTGGCCGCTCGTCCGAATCGAGTATTCTCTAACTAACGCCAAAGGCGTTTGTTGTACGATAGGCCTTATGGCACTAGCGTTCAACTCAGTTAAAATACTGATCTTACCTTAAAACGGTATCCTTCATTATCACCAAATTGTAGACTTCTAACTTCCTGAATAAGTTAGCAAATGTCGCGGCACCCTATAGGGACCTAGCTTCGTTACAGTTTGGTATCGAGACCTAAAACTCCTGCGACCTCAAACGGCCCTCGCTTCCGCTGATTCTCCAACAATTTCTGTTAGAAACTCTAACCGCGTGGACAGCGACGACAGCGGGCGGAGCAACCGTAATGGCGGGACGTCCACCCGCACTCTTGAATTGGAGGTAACACGCCTCAAAACGGCGAGACATGCTTACAATCGTGAGGTTCAAATGTTTAACCTCGCTCGCAAGGCGCATCCAGATTATAAGTTGCCCACCGATTTGAAGTTGTTGATCAATCGCACGCTGCGGGACACGTGGTGGTCTTGTCCGCTGATCTTTACTGTTGTGCATCTGTACAGGGTGCTGCGGAGATGCAGACTGGAAAGGGTGCCCCAAGCGGCGAGACGGTTCCTGAGCAGAGTAAAAACTGTAAGCATCCGGTGCTGGTGCTGGTGCTGTCTTACGGTTCTTACTCTGTTGGGGCTGCCCCCAATCTGGGCCAGTCGCTGCTTGGTTGCCAAGGCCCACATAAACTGCTCGAATTCTGTAGCCTTGGCATCAAATGCTGCGATGTTGAGCTTGGGTGGCACTTTACTCCCATCATCCAGCTGGCACTCCTTGCTGTAGTGGGTCTTGATCACCTTTAGCTTTGATCAGAAGTCTGCCGCTGTCGGCCTGGCCTTCCAGTACTCACTGTAGAGGATTTGGAAGGCATCCAGCAGGGCCGTGGGGGGAGAAGTGGCCAGCACCTGCACTGCGGCAGTAAGCTCCACCTGGACTGCTGCAGCAGTGGATGTGATGAGCTCCACCGTTAGGCTGACCATGCACCCTCCTCTGCCCCACCACTGCTGCATCACATGGAAGGCAATGAAGTGGTCACCAAACACCAGGCCAATGCTCTCATCCTCAGGGCTGAGCTCCCACTGAGTGCCATCTAGGCTGTCACCCGCAGGGCCTGTGGGGAGTAGCTGGGTGTAGTCCACAAAATCCACATCCTGATAGCATGTGGTGCTGTCCAGTTACATCCAGCAGAGGTCAGCCTTCAGGTGCTCCAGCTCGATGTTTAGGTGGCCGATGAACAGGTGCCGGCTCTGGCAGAGCTTGATGAAGAAGTTGGTGTGCTGCAGCATGGGTAGTAGGGTGTGCATGGCCAGGTACAGGCAGGCGTCCACCATCTGGGTGAAGATGAACTGCTCTTCCGCCTCCTATATGTACAGCAGCAGGGCACCATACAACATACTGCAGCGGCAGCAACAGGCTCAGCCACCTGCAGGGCGGCAGAAACAAACAGTAAGGTTATAAAGCTGAGAATCTAAACATAAAAGAGCCTTTGCCCCACACACTGGCTAACTGATTATGAATAAAATCTCGTCATCCTGAAGCTTGCAGCCCTCATGTTTACCTGCCATATATCCTCGGCTTTGTGCAGAGCAAGGCCTGCCCCCCCCATCCCAGCCTTATATCAATGCACAGCAGGATCTGGCTCCAGCCCTCCATGATGTAGACTTGAATGCAGAGCCAGGACCTCTTGTCAATGCCCATGGACTCATCCAGGCTCACAGATACAAAGCAGTTGGCGGCGACCAGCCTGTGGATTTCATCCTTGAGCACCGCATCCAGGGCCTCAGCAAGCTGACAGTGCTTATCACAGTAGTGTGGCATGTCAGCACCTGGAACAGGTCCTTAGAGCCGACATAGTCGAGGATGGGGCGCCTGTGATCAAGCATGAAGAAGAGCTGCTGCAGCTGCTGCACAACTCCCCTCTCAGACTTGCTGAGTGCTCTGGACAAAAGGTTTTTGACTGTCTGCACTGTCAGCTGGTCCTGCTCGTGTGGAAGGGCCCACACTTCGTGGTTGCACATGGCTTCTTGGTGTATTTTGGAGAGCTCGTGGCTTTTTAGCATGGCCTGCCTGGCATCCATTGTGACATCCCAGGAGCAGGGACCGCACCGGACACAGCCTCCACATCCAGCACAACACACTCAGCCCATTCAAACAAAGCTGTCCAGTGCACCTGGAAGCAATGCACTCCCTCATTCCCCCGCCAGCTCCCATTGCTTTGGCCTTTCAGCACACACTGTGTTTGCTGGCACTTCACCTGCTTTTGAATCACCAGCAGTGCATGCTGTGAAGCACCTGCCCTTGAAGGTGGCAGTGGTGCCATGGTGACATCTTGGGGTGGTGGCCCTTCCTTGTCAGAATCAAGCTGTTCAGCATCTGAGTCTCTGATTGCTGCAGTTGTGTGTGGCTGCTTTACCGGGGGATCTCAACTTCATTCAAATCAAGGAGGCCCGACTGCTGTGTCTTCAGGAACTGCGGCATGCCTATCCTTATCTTCTGTATTATCTAATTCTTCTTCTAAAGTGTTTGAGGCTTTGTGTCTGCAGAGTTTCTGAGCCGTTTGCTTTGGTCAAGAATGGGCATTCATAGTGCTAGCTAGGTTCCAGAGACACCGTCTCTTCAACAGGTTATGAGCAGTGGAGTGAGCAACACCAAAATTGAAGTAGTAGTGCTGCTGCAGCAGTGCAGCCGAACCAACAGCAGCTGATCATGACCAGCCCCTAAACCTCTTGATCACTTCCAAGGTTACAACTGCTACTCAATCGAGCGGCTTCCCTGGAAGCACCATCATGCCCAAGACTGTAGACGGTGTGGACCTCCATTTAGGCACCTATACTTGCCTAGCTAACCAAACCGACAAAATGCATCCGTGAACCAGCTGACCCTGCGTGACCCAGCAGTAATGAACAACTGCATGTAGACAGCAGCTTACAAAGGTGCCAGCTGGACAAGGGACTCTGCTATGCATATGCATGCATGCATAGCATATAAATACATATATATCAGAGCTTGGCCTTTGCGAGCTTCTTGAGCTCCGTGATGCTGACTGGCAGCAAGACCTTGTCCACAAGGTGCCCCACGAAATTGGGCGGATCAAATGCATCGTTGCCGCCAATATTGTAGTCACTGAGTACGGCTTTCACGTACTTGTTTGACAGGATGACCATCTTGGCAGGACCCGAGCTCGGGCGCTTGGGAAAGCTGCAGTGGGGATAGGAGGGCAAACCACATGCAGTAAGACACATATACATATGTACATACAAGTTACATGTTCCGCACACAAGTGCGGGTGTGTCCATAAAAGCCGGGGGGCCATGGATGTTGTATTGGTACTGATGCAGGTACAGGGGAGGTCATCTTCATTCTCCCTCATCAGCTTCAGGGTGAAGCGCCTCAGCACGACGTGGCTGGCCTCCCAAATTTCCGAGAGGTACCTGGCCAATGCCAGGGGTGGTGCCTCAGTCATAATGGTGCGCATGCTGCGCCCCTTAAAAACTAGGTCAGCATCATACTTAGTCTGTATGCTCTTGTAAGCGGGACATCCTTCAAAAACATGCAACTCATCTTCAACCGCTCAACAGTCACAAAGCCTGCTGGTAAGCGCGGTGCACTCACACCCATTAGGCCTTTAAACCTCTAACTCCCAACAGCCGAACCGAAAACGCATGAGCACATGATGAAGTTGCTGGGCAGCAGTCGCCCATGCAACCAGGGTTCCTGTCAAAGCGTCCAAGTGCACGCTGCTTCCTGGCTTGCAGGAGACACCTCTATGGAGAGATTGTGGTGTGCGTGTGTTGCGACATTCCCCAAGCCCTGTATTTGTATGAACTGAACTATAACTCATCAGGGGGGTCTGGGGAGGGTGTAGCCCCTCCCAGCACCTTACAGATTCAAAATACTTTTATTCCCGCGACTAAAAACCTATTCCTCCGTTTGGACTGGAGAATTGACGGGCAAAAATGAAAAATAAAACACTGAAGAGTACTCACGCGAGACGCTAGGTGAAGCTCATCCATTCTTACAGTGCTTGGCCATTACCATGGTATGTCGGGTACTTTAGACCACCGCCATTCTCCATCGCTTGCTTTTCATGCACACTTCTACCTACCTTAACCCATCGCGTACTTACATCATTGTATGTCTATTATCAACCCTTGCTGCACATGGCCGTGTGACGCCAAATGCCTGTCCGGACCATTCCCTGCTGCCCATAGCCACTCACATGGTTAGGTCTGCGGTGGCATTCAGCGGTCCGGCCATTGTCTCGAGCCTGATGGGGGCTCCATAGTTGATGAATGACCCCGTGTACAGTGCTGATCCGTTAATGATGTGGGCCTTGGTTAGCAGGTCTACCAGGCGAGTGTTGGACAACAGTGCGGTCTTGGTGATACCGAGCTGGCTGAGGAGCGACGCGAAAGCCTGTGTGTGTATGTGTGCAAAACCATCTCCATTATCTGTGTTGTTTGTGAGCAGGTATGTATGTAGGCGTGTTTGGGAGACCATTAACTGACGCAGCCACAGTGCATGCATAAGGGTGGGAACCTATGGTACAGTACATGCATTCCCACAGAAATCACTTACATAGCCTGGTCTGGAGGCTGAATTGGAGTCACTACAGCGATTTGCGGTTTAAGGTCATAAGATCGATTCCAGGGACTCCAGGGATCGGCCCAGGTCACTATGGGGACCGTGAGACTAAATTCAGCGATTGTTAGGGCCATGCATTCATGGATAGATGCAGGCCACCGGCAGGGAGGGTGGAGGGGAGGGGTGGCATGCAATAGAAATATGGTTACTTCTTGGTTGCATTCGCCGACCACGCGGCTAGAAGGTACAGTTTGAAAGAAGGCACACTGCTGGTCCCCTTGGGACAGGCCTGTCCCTCTCACGCTGTCAGAAGGTGCGAAGATGGTGAGTTGGGTTGTTCGCCCCTCGGGCTCCGCCAGCAGGAGGGGGGCAAGTGTGCTTGCAGAGAAGACCTCGGAGGCAGTTGGCCCAAAATCCGATACAAAGGCGATTACGTTTTCATAGGCATATCCAGGTTCCATGGAGGGATATTGGTTACCGTTGTCAATTACATGAATGATGCTCTGCAGTCAACAGCGGTAAGTTCAAAATCAGTAGTAGCAGCAGCAGAAATCGGAAATGAAGTAGATAAAGATATAAGATTGATATAATGACGGATCCGGAGTGCGTGGAAGCAGCCAGCGGCAGCAACATATATAATGTGTGAAACAGGGGGGTGTATCTTCGCCCGTGGCAGCTACCCTGCGAAACCCTGCCTTCCCCGGTATTTCGGGGCACCCTCATCCAGTCACCCTAGTCAACTTCTCAGTGGATCGCTCAGGTTCCGCACCTACCACCAGCATCCAACGGAATCTGCCGGGTCGACAGCGGCCGAACTCCATTCCTGGTCGGCTCGCAGGTTAACTTTATCCCAGGTCACCACCGTCCATCAACTAGGGGCGCAATGCCTTCCACCATCGGAAGGTCTTTGACCCGAACGATAATCGATCCCGGGATCTGCCGGGGGCAATGGTCGCGCCTTGCAAGTGGTGCCAAACCCTGTATTTGTGTGTGCATGTCCGGGTGCCTGCCCCACATGTAGCATGACTTATCATGCGTACATTTCCAATTAAATGTACATAGTGGTTGGCATTAAGGTAGCTTTTTAGCGTGTTGTATCTATCCACATGCACATGCAATCCCGATGGCAAATAAACATTACGGCACACACATTGTCTATAAATACGTGCTGAAGTGCTCTGTCAATATCTTTGAGGTCTTTTCAGCTGCCGAACCCCTAAACCCCTAAACCCCTAGCTGCAGCTACAACACACGGTGAAGCGAACTTGGATATCTTTTGAGCGGGAATTAAATAATCACCTTACGGTGCTGAGCTCAAATGAGCTACGGTACACAATCCCATCACAGTCACAGTCACAGTCACAGTCACAGTCACAGTCACAGTCACAGTCACAGTCACAGTCACAGTCACAGTCACAGTCACAGTCACAGTCACAGTCACAGTCACAGTCACAGTCACAGTCACAGTCACAGTCACAGTCACAGTCACAGTCACAGTCACAGTCACAGACACAGACACAGACACAGACACAGACACAGTCACAGACACAGACACAGACACAGACACAGACACAGACACAGACACTGACACTGACACTGACACTGACACTGACACTGACACTTACATACATATATGACCTACCTTTCCACCCTTCAGGTCTGCCTTGATGATTTTGCCGGGTAATCCTTCTTCACCATAGAAGTAGGTGCTGCCACTGTGGATAACAAAATGCATGTGTGCAAGCCATGCACAGCAGTGAGCAAGTGCCGTACAACATTAGCTCCGCGATCACTTTTAACACAGCCTGGGTAATCACCAAGCAAGCGGCAGCAGGCGATGATGTGACGCGGTAGATGTGCATGCATGGTGCATGGTGGTAGTGTTTGCACTGGAGGATGTATGAATGATGCAACTCGCTATGCTGTCTACTTACTCAACCATGCATGCATGCGTAAGCGTCCAACGATTCAATATTAGGTAGCCATATACCAGGTAAACGGCACCCCGGTGGACTCGTCGTCTATCCAGCCGTACATACAACTCCATCATCATGCTAAGCCAGTAGCCCATCGATCACCAACAAATATGTCTTCGGGACGGTCCCTACCTAATGTACGAGAGCGTCGTCTACAGGTGATCGAAATTTGTACTGATGGACAACTTACCGTTCGTCAAGAACTTACTTGGACTTTCTTATCGAGAAAATTGTTTTATAGGTCTTTGGAAAGGCGGCATAGTACTCAATATCTGGGTTGAAAGTATAATCGTCGAAGCGGTTTGGGACCAGCTTGTTAAGGGTGAGGGCCGTCTGTCCATCCGCGCAGTGCTGCAACAGAACAGTCCACAGGTATCGGCCTTTGTAATCTCCTGGAGTGAACCAGCTGTCCCAACTGTACCATTCATCCACGTTATATACCTGCGGTTGAGACGATAAGCATACACACAGTGTTTTCCTATACAAACACATAGTACACACATATACACATCTACATACAGGATCGATCTCATCACGAAGCTAGCAATAGGGGGAACATAGCTGGCAACCACGCTAATGATCAAGGGCCACACGAACCTACCCCAAAACCCTGAATCGTCCTTAGTGGTCGTTTCAATAATACTTGGTCCCCAGCACCCTGTTCGATGGTCAATACTAGAAGTATTGTGCAAGGGATTCCCTTTGGCTGTTGTGTGTCCGATTTTGCGTTGTACAGTGTCCTTAGTCCCTTGGCTCTTACACACGTGCACATGCAGATCGAGTGCATGTGGGCCAGGAAGGTGGCACCCTTCATCGATAGCTGCGCAGTTATGGGCTAGCTGCAGAACTTCTTGTGGTGACATGTACAACCCTGCTGTAAGAGGTCTATGCATATTTGCTCCGAGAAACCACATACACATGCATATTCAGTTGGCATGCAGCCTGAAAAGCAGGCATAGGCGCCTGAGATAGACGCCCGAGAAAATGCCGCCTAGCCAAGTAGGGTAGATGCTCCGTCGGAGATAACTCTATACAATTCTTCTATAGCTCTGCTGTCATTCGGCCATGAGGGCGGCTGCATGTCGCATATATGTACACATGTCTAGATAGCAGCGAGGGGCCTCACTGCCGTGTGGCCCCTGTGGCACCGTAATGGGGCCTCGATAGACCGCCTGTCTATCTGTACCTTGCTTCACCACAATTCATCTTGCAATCTTATTAGCTGGGGCACATGAATGCATGCATGAAACCCAAGTAACCTATGTCCAACTCAGATAGCTGCAGGCAGATAGCTAGAGTGCATCACCACACACCTCGCTGGACGGCAGGAAGCAGGTTATCATGGTGTTGGGATCCTTGAGCACGCCAAGCAGCCCCGTGTAGTTGAATACACCCAGCATGGGACGCAGCTCGGGAGTTGCGGACATCAGGTCGTACAGGGTCTTGTAGACGGTCACATTGCTGGGGGCAGCGGTTAGGCTCCTTGCAGCATCACCTGTACGTATGTACACCCACACAAGGTATAACAGAACAAGGAAGCAACCTTTTGCTGCTTGATGCAGCGTAAGCTTCACTGTCACACTCAGTCCTGGCGGGAGGCCGGCCACCTCGGAGGCAGGACCTCGTGGGCAATAATGTCGGGATATCCGCTTCACTAGCTACTTCCTCCCCGCAATCCCTTGGCGAAAAGCAAAGATAGTTATCACGGAGTGGCGGTGGGTACAGCTAAGCGGCGGGCAGGATTCGAGCAAGCAAGGGAGCTTGTTGTGGTGCGTGCAGTTAGCTCACGAGAGCAGAGGTTCGCTAGTAGTGGGGGCCTATCTGCTGCTAAGAAATTGTCGCTGCGTCCTAGCTATGCCCTTCGTAACGAGGCAAAGCACAACAAAGCAAAACCAATTTCGTAACACTACCGGTACTCAGGCCAACGAATGCCGGCCAGTAATGCAGCCAATAATGCCCGACCGGCACACCTCACTTACAAGGTATGCTCCACACTTGGACAAACACGACGGCTACAATAAAAAGAGTTGAGATTTTGCCTTTTTGCATGGCAGGTGCGCTTCAGATTAGATGAAGGTTGGCAATAACAGCAGCAGCACGCAAATATTACGCAGCGTCGGACACACTTCCATCAAACGATACTGTCTATCTTCTGTCTCTTCACAAAAGATCCTTCCTGCTATCCTGCACCATTCAACTTCCCTGAAGGACAGTGCGGCGCGGCGCCTGCAGTACCTAGTCGAGGTCAGATTGCTGCAGACTCTGAGCAGCAGTAACCGCTTCGTGGCAGGTGCGGGCAGTTGGGTTGCTTAACAGACAGCGGAAGCAAAACAGATAGGGAAGGCAGGTTATAGCGGCTGTCTAAGGCGTGGACAGACACGCTGATGAACTCAATCACTACTTCGATGTGCCAGTTCTGCTGCTGTCTTTCCTAGCTATGCTTGCGCCCAGACGTTCACGAGCAGGTAAGTCTTCAGGACCCAAGCTTCGTTTGAGATAATTTATCAAGATTATGATAGCTCGGCTTTGCCATTTCCTTCTGAGAAAGGAGCCCTGCGAACATGCATCGATATATCCGTCTCGTCTCCGTTGGCAGCGGCCCACCCGCCCCAGCAACGCACACGCTCTCCAGTAATTATTTTATAGAATCTAACCCCGTACGTAATAAGTAGTGTATGTAGCTTAGCTTTAAGACCAGAAGGCGGTCAAGGAGGATGCCGGATGGACAATCCAAAGGGAATTTTCAGCAAAAGTTCCGTATCCCAAACTAGGGAATTCCCAAATAGTAAATGCTCCAGACCATGTACCAAGTGTTGAACCTCCGCACTAGTTAAGCTCCTCCTGATGCTGAGTAGCTATTCCGCATAGCAGGATTGCGGAGAGCTACTCAGCAGGTATCAGAAGCATACCTATTGCGGATTTCAATATTATAGGATTTTAATTGATGCGCTGACCCATAGACACCAGGTTGCAAGAACGCGCGGTGCGCTCGTTCCGCAAAAACGTCTAACATCACCAAACGCCGCTAGCATACGTTCAAGGACCTGGTTGTACCCCAGAACATGAAGTAACGGGAAATCTAGCTTAGAGGGCAAGATAGCACACCACGTCTCTCGAAAGGCACTCCCGAGCATGAACTTTCCCGAAGTTTTGCAGGTAATCAATCCAACAGCGCAAATAGAGGCATAGATATCGCTGTGGGTTTCTACCTAACATGCAGGAATGTTTTACAAACTGCGCGCGCTGCGGACACGCCAATCGCATTGTACAGACGTACGGTGGGCCGTACACCAACCACCAGATCGAAATCACGCTTATGTTCGGCATAGGGTTCCATACGTTTTCCGTTCAATTTTCTCCAAAAAGCGTCTATTTGTTCTTTTCTTTATGAAGACATGAAGGCCTTGTTTCCGTAGTCCGCATAGTAGTAGCTAGAACAGTTCTCAATAAGAGCTCTCAATAATTCAACTTCTATTTGTCCCTATGAATATGTCCCTGAGAACAATACAAGTTGAATCACTGAGCTCTTCGGGGCTTGAAGGAATGCGAGACCACTGACATGACAAACGCGACTTTGTTCGGCTCGATTTCTTCTTGTTCGTTATCCCTAGTAAGTCACTGGTATTGTGAGATAAAGGCTGTTGTGTTGGATTTGCGAGATGCGTGCTGGGGAAGAAGGTGGTTGGTCCGCTCCAGGGAGGCTTCATGTCTCAGCCGGCAGGTTTGCAGATCAAATTGTAAAAGCACCTGGCATCGGGAAGCAGGCCTGAACGAAACTCTCGTCTTGTTTCTAATAATCTTAGACGACAAAAGTTTCTGGAACTAGGAGCTGCACTGTTGCCAGGGCCAGGCGGCCAGAGGGACATTTAGGCTACTGACCCGGGGTCAGTGACCCCCCCGACAATTAGCCTTCCGGCACCCTCGGGCACGCAAGCGTCTCCCAGGCTTCTGTGTTCGTCAGTCCATGGTAGGCTGGTGAGGTAGAGCATGCATTCTTACAGGGCCACACACATCGTGTGGCATTGGGTTTTGCATGATGATGTTTCTGCTTATGGTTTTCCTGTTTCCCGGACAATTTACCGTGATGACTTCTCTGCTGGCCAAGCCCAAGGGCAAGCGTGAGCATATGTGCGTAGGGTTGTGCCGGCATTAGAACATTAGAACTAATATTAGAAAAAATATAATTAGAATCTAATAAGAATTTTAGAAGACCCCGTTTAGAACGTATTAGAACATCCTAATGTCGTACGGACATTAAAACGGCCGGAAAGCCGTAGCTTTAAGGCGCATCAGCGGTTCTACTGCGTGCATTTTACACGAAAATGTCAGATAGAGGTGCGGGGCCATCAAAGCCACCCCTTCCTCCCGGGAAGGCGGAAGCATCAGTCGTCGTGGCAAGCTTCTTTCGACCGGGAAGCGTGATACCCACAGCGGCGCACGCGGTGACGAGGTAGTGGTTTTCGATAAGGTGAAGGGCGGTGTTGGTGGTGTAGAAGAAGAGCGCCAGGTTTTTCAGAAACACGCCGATTTGTATAGTGTTGGCGAGAAAGGAGCGGATGGAGCCGCCATCCGCAGAGCGCGAGCGCTTCAGACCAGACGTGTCGGACTCGGACACCGGAAAGCTGCAACGCTTCTGCGGCGTTTGATGCAGCCCTCTCATGCCTCTTGAGGTGTACAGGCGCAGTCACGGTTGGGTTTTTGGCGCCAAGCAGGGCGCCGCAGGTGAGGCACTTCAGCTTAACGACGCCGTCGAGCAGCAGAACGTTGAAAGAAGTCCAATAAGCTGCAAGACCCTTCTTCTTTGCGGAGGTCAGAGCTTCTGCATACGCTTTTGCATCAAGTTCCTTGTTGCCATACTTGTACATTGGCCCTGATGCTTCCGCCTTCCCGGGAGGAAGGGGTGGCTTTGATGGCCCCGCACCTCTATCTGACATTTTCGTGTAAAATGCACGCAGTAGAACCGCTGATGCGCCTTAAAGCTACGGCTTTCCGGCCGTTTTAATGTCCGTACGACATTAGGATGTTCTAATGCGTTCTAAACGGGGTCTTCTAAAATTCTTATTAGATTCTAATTATATTTTTTCTAATATTAGTTCTAATGTTCTAATGCCGGCACAACCCTAGGTATACCCGGAGGCGGCTGATCATGAGGATGTTCACCCGAGGGGGGTAGGTATGTAAGAAGGGTTTAGCTCCCTTGGCATCTCCCTGAGTACTCTTTGCCTGGTTTTATTACACCCTGTGATCTTAGCCATGTGCGTGCATCTCCATCTGACCATATCAGCAAGAGCAGTAGCTGTGGTTACTATAGGCCAGCTGGCCACTGAAAAGGCCTCTTGAGATGCTGGTTGAGTGCTGGTCGAGTGGTCGAATGCATATTTGTAGTTGATATGTGTGCTGTACTGTGTAACAGCTACTACATCAGGCCTGATGGTCAGTCCTAGGGCATGGCCTTTGCGAGCTTTTTGAGCTCAGTGATGCTGACTGGCAGCAACACCTTGTCCACAAAGTGCCCCACGAAATTGGGTGATTCTCCGAAACGGTCGTTGCCGCCAAAATCGTAGTCACTGACTATGGCTTTCACATACTGATTGGACAGGATGACCCCCTTGGCAGGACCCGAGCTCGGGCGCTTGGGAAAGCTGCAGTGGGGATAGGAGGGCAAACCACATGCAGTACACATATACATATACATACAGGGGCTACAGAGAAGCAGAGGGAGGTGAAGAGCACTGAATATTGATGTAGTGCAGGTGGGTTGCCTGCAGGCATCCATACACAGCTGTGCATGGATGAAGTATGGACAACATGATGCATACTACTACCTATTACCAAGCAAAGAGGAAAAGCAAGCAGCATGCAGGTAGGTTTACTTCCTAGGCGCACACCTGCAGGTAGCTTGGAGCCACACATGTAGCATACATACATAGACAGGGGCAGAATGAAAGCTTGCAGTGTGACTACGTAGTAACTGGCCTCTGAAAAGCCACTCAAAATGCTGGCCAAGCACTTTGCTTGTATTTGTAGTTGATACATGTGCTGTACTGTCTACCAGCTACTATACATTCCTCCCCCTTTGAAGGGATCCGTCTCTGGGCCTTACCATCGCCTACCCTTGGGCTGTGGGTAAGTAGTTCACGTCGCATCATGATCATGTGCCACTCACACATTTGCTTAGCAGTCTTTAGGTTTCCTTATATATGTTCAGTTTGTGGCACTTACATAATACTAACTACTTAACCATCAAAACATACATATACACTACTTTATAGCTATATAGAACATAAAAGAACTCTACAGCTGCAGGTGAGTAGGAATCCAGCCAGACAGTTGTTTTGTGGTGGCGTGCGGGGTCTTGAGAGCTCATCACATGAGCAATACCCAAATCGTGGAAGGGGGCTTAAAAGTAATGGTCAGTGACAAAAGCATGCATTTGCTGACTAGTGTATGTTAGATATGCATATCTAACATATGCATGTTCGGCCGCCGCCATTCTCCATCTCTTGCTTTTCATGCACACTTCTACCTAACCCATCACATACCTACATATCATTACTATCAACGCTTGCTGCAGATGCGCTTCCTCAAACACATGTTCCCACCACTCACATGGTTAGGTCTGCGGTGGCATTGAGGGGTCCAGCCATTGTGTTGAGCCTGATGGGGGCTCCATAGTTGATGAATGACCCCGTGAACAGCGCTGACCCGTTAATGATGTGGGCCTTGGTTAGCAGGTCTACCAGGCGAGTGTTGGACAACAGAGCGGCCTTGGTGATACCGAGCTGGCTGAGTAGAGAAGTAAAAGCCTGTGCATGTATGTGTACAGCAGAAACGTTTTCCGTGTATGATGTGTGAAACAGGGGGTATATCTTCGCCCATGGCAGCTACCCTGCAAAACCCTGCCTTCCCCGGTATTTCGGGCCACCCTCATCCAGTGACCCTAATCAACTTCTCGAAAACTGAGATCTCAGTGGATCGCTCAGGTTCCACACCCACCACCGGCATCCAACGGAATTTGTTGGATCAACGGCAGCTCAACTCCATATCTGGTCAGCTCGCAGGTCAACTTTATCCCAGGTCACCACCATCCATCGAATAGGGACACTCTCCCATGGTGGAAGGATCTTCACCCTTAACCGGTCTTGATCCCGGGGGTGTGTATGTATGCATGTATGTGGAATGCTCAATATTCGCTCCTTCACAATCTACATTAAGCAACATCGTTTGTACAATTTTAGGTCGTCTATACATTAGAAACTGGTATAATAAAATGGACGGTCTCTATCTAACATATAATAACATATAACAGGGCACTATCCATAGACAATCACATATTTTACACTGACATGCATAAATAAGAATATTGATCATAAGATTGTTATCATTAAGCCATGCAGCATGCAGGGTTCCGTGGTGGAAAGCAGCAATATGATAATTACTGCTTGGTCGATCTCACAGTACTGCTGGAAGGTGCAGTTATTAGGAGGTGCACTGCTGGTCCGTTCCTCTCTTACATTATCGTGAGGTGCGAAGATGGTGATGTCGGTTCCCCGTGCAGGGTCCACCAGGAAGGAGCGGAGAGAGCTTGCAGAGAAGACCTCATAGGCAATTGTTCTAAACATTTCAACGAACTCCAGTGCTGTTTCGAAGTAATCTGGAGGTGCTATGGTGGGGTACTGGCCGCCATTGTCGATCAAATGAATGATGCTCTGCAGTTAACAACAGCAGTTCCGACCTAACATTTTAGTAGTTAGCAATGAGTTGTTGGAGCAGCAACATACAGAAGCAGCGAGTGAAGCAAGGAAGATGGCTCATGCAGTGGCCCCATGGGGCCACTTAGTCTTATCTTAGTACGAGTCCTATGTACTATCTTAATACTACTAACCCCTTGCTCCTTTTATATGAAGTACATAATTATGTACTTCATAGCTACTTAGGACCACAATTGAAATGGATATCAGAATCCTAGGATATGCCCAGGCCTGTGATATGCCCAATATGCCCATGATACAACAGTTAATGCACGGCAGTAAGTATTGTTATAAACTGCCATAGCAATAATGTGAAGCAAATCCGAGAGATGTCATGCAAACATGCAAGGAACCCTGCCTTATATGTACCCATAAAAAATATGGACATGCATCCACGAGCTAGCCACTGACTAATGGATTGAAGGGGCTTGACTTTATGGATTGCTTGGTAGACACCCTTTTCACCGAATGAAACATTGGTACTTATGAAGTCTGAGCGGTGCATAACAATGCAGGCGGCTGGCAGAGGTTAAGGCCTGACTTCTGCTCCCGGAGGGTCTGGGTTTAAGTCCGCCTGCTGACCTCTTGGGTGTTTGAGAGTCGGTGAAATGGGAGGTGGGCCCCCATCTTAAGTGTAACCAGGGAATCGGGATAGGTTTAAGTGGTTACCCATGTGGGTATGTATAATGGGAGGTGGGTAACCTTACCACGGTGTAGGGGTAACCCCTTACCAATGGGTAACAAAGGTGTTGGTGTAAGACACTACTGAGGGTTAACAGCGAGGTAACCCATGTTTACCCATTGGGAGCCGTATGCTGGTGTCAATGGGTTGTAGGATGTTCCTGTCTCACCTGCCTACATGTGCATGCACAGCTGTCTCATCCGTCTATGTGAGCACATATGTCTTCTCGCCTGTCTATGTACACGTACATGTGCATAGACAGGCGAGACAGTGTACATGTACACATGTAACACCAGGCAAAGAGTACTCATGGAGATGCAAAGAGAGCTGAACCCTTCTTACATCACATATTTGCATGCATGCCTCTCTATACACTTCCATCCATGCTTGTCTCGCATGTCTACACATACAAACACACATGTCCACCAATCACTTGTGAATGCACAGTTGTAAGGATTGCCTCACCAAGGAAATGATACCAGCATGTCTTTTGAACATGAACCAAACCTCCATGCAGCACTGGGTTACACATACATGTATGACCTACCTTTCCACCCTTCAGGTCTGCCTTGATGATTTTGCCGGGTTCTCCTTGCTCGCCATAAAAGTAGGTGCTTCCACTGGGGGTAACAAGGTGCATGTATGCAATTCATGCATAGTGAGCAACCGGAAAACAAAAGCTCGATGATCACTGTAAGCAGTATCAGCAATCCTTGTGTAAGTAAACGTTTTGGTCATCTATAGATGATACCCTGGTATAACAAATTGGACGGTCCAGATGTGATATATCAGCTGGTACCTGCACGGCGCGACTAATGTTAATAGCTATTAAAGTTTTGATCATCTATAGATGATCAAAACTTTACTGACGCCCCACCCTGCCTACACACAAAACGAGCAAAGTCCACCAAGGGAGTTCATCACCCACATAACTAGCAAGCTGCAGCTCGCCAACAAACCATTTGCTAGGAACGCACTTGATCTTTGATATCACGAAAGTTGTTTGCCACGTTTGAGGAAGGGCCGCGTAGTACGTAATATCTGAGTCATAATTCGGGGGCAGCTTGTTGAGGGTGAGGGCCTTCTGTCCATCAACACAGTGCTGCAGAAGTAGACCCCACACGAAGCGGCCTTTCTGATCTCCGGGATTGGTCCAGGTTTCCCAAGAGTACCATTCATTCATGTCGTATACCTGTGATGAACCCATAATGAGCGTGCACAGAGCAATACAAACATACATACATAGGATCAATCCCAGGGACGAAGTAAAGAGAGAAACACATTGCAAAGTGAAGCGTGTGGCAACAGGCCTAGGTTTTTAACACCAGGCTAAGAGTACTCAGGGGGATGCCCTTCTCACATAGGTAGACGACTCGAGTACTGGATAACGGACAAAATTAAGGTAAGCAGCAGCAGGACTGCTTGCATACACACCGTAAATGCACGAGCCTGATGACGTGGGGGCTTCTACGACAGCTACACTGGGGTGTGTAGGGTAACTCTCTTTTTAGTATCCACTACGATATCATGTAGAGGCTCCATTTTGTGCAGCTTGCTTATTACTCACGCGCCTGTCTATCCGCACCATGCTTCACCACAATTCATCTTGCAATCTTATTAGCTGGGGCACATGAATGCATCCATGAAACCCGAAGTAACCTATGTCCAACTCAGACAGCTGCAGGCAGATAGCTAGAGTGCATCACCACACACCTCGCTGGACGGCAGGAAGCAGGTTATCATGGTGTTGGGATCCTTGAGCACGCCAAGCAGCCCCGTGTAGTTGAATACACCCAGCATGGCACGCAGCTCGGGAGTTGCGGACATCAGGTCGTACAGGGTCTTGTAGACGGTTACATTGCTGGGGGCAGCGGTTAGGCTCCTTGCAGCATCACCTGTACGTATGTACACCCACACAAGGCATAACAGAACAAGGAAGCAACCTTCTAAAAGGATGGTTCAATGTTACACTTTCCATGAGGACATGCAAGTACCGCTGCCAGCCGCCGGCCAAGCAGCATCAGTAACATGTTTCATCCTGTATACAAGGTGTCCTAGTGTAATAGGTACAGACGTTCCCTACCTGCCCAACATACAAGATATATACAGGATATACATTTTGCAGAGGGAGGAGCAGGCAGGCAGTTACCCCACAAGGGGTCTCGAGGTGGCCATTGGGGCAGAGGGGGTGTCTAGGGGTTTCCCGCGGGGTCCGCAGATTCCGACCCTGTAATAACGGGCCCCTAGACCCCGCGGGGTAGCGACCCGATCACAACAGCCGACAGCCCTCAAGCATCGCGGTCATAGCCAGGAGCAGGTGCTATTAAGCAAGCCAGAGAGCAGTATTGGTGCAGTATTTTAATAGTAGTCTTGCTTGTTAGGAACGAATCTGCACCTAGCTAGGGGCCAATGGGCCCCCCTAGGCACCCACCCTTTCGGGCTATCCCGCTTTGTCCTAGCTAACTGCCGATCCAATAATGCTACAATAATTGTATAAGCGAAGACCAACTAGCTTACTTCATATCCTTGCAATAAGCTTAGGTAGCGATATTAGGCCATCCAATATCGGCAAACATAAAATGCCCGATACGTTTCACTTACAGCGTATGCTCCACGCTTGGATACACACGAAGGCTGCTATAGAAAGACTTAGGAGGCTGCCTTTCCTCATGGCCGTCGCAGAACCAATGCAACCAAAGATTAGAAACGGTAATCAGACTTTCTTGGAAATAATGCGCCTGAATGATGAAATTTGCATCTTATGGAAATACCGATATCAAAGTCCCTGAAAGTTTAATGATATGTAGTACAATGCGGTTGCTCCATACAGGATTGCTGTGCGGTACAGGGGCAGTTGGAAGTAAAAGCTTCACGGCAGGTGCGTCCGCGCGGGCGAGCCCCGGCTTGCCTAAGCAATCCTTTCGTGTGACAGCTCCCGATTACTCCCTAAAATGAATTGGTCTATGTTTTATGCAGCGTGGTCAGCAGATGTGCTCTGTGAGGGTCTTTCCATTGGGCAGCGGCTAGGTAATTTCCTTCATTTCTATAGAAATGTTAAGAAATTTCCTTCATTTCCTTAATTTCACTTTCCACTGTACACAACTTTTATCAGACGTACGAATTGTAAGGAATTGCTCACTTTAAAGCTACGTTAGCCCTCGAGCACATTAGTATTACTGCCCAGCACGTTTCCGCTCGCATTCCTTGACTCCCCCTAGACAATTTCCCCATGGGCATCGTCGGCCAGCGCGCAGGGTTGTGCTGAGACGCGACCTGGTTAAGGCCTCCATACGACATTTGCAAATGGTGCAACTCGTGGTGATAGTCCGGGAAAGCGGGGTGGTGAACCGACTCGAGGTTGACATGGCCATGCTGCACGCGAAGCTGTCTCATACGAGCCTCGTCATTCATATGAGTTCCAAGGTACTCAACAGGAGTTCCTTGGAAGGACATTGACGAGGAAATGGCACTCGCGAGTGGCGATCGCCAGTTTTGCGTAGCAGGCGTCTGTCGCTTCCTAGCGCCGCGACTGCGCACCAAATATATGCCTATTCAGCTGACATCAATGTGAAGAGTATATGCGAGGTCAAATTTTTAATTCATGGTCGGGAGCATGTACCAGCTAAGAATTTCTTAGCGAGGGTTATGGAAAAGTTACGGAAATTTCCCTTTCCATTGGCCGTCCGGCAACTTCTTGCACGGGGCCCTTCGCGCTGCAAAAATTGTTAAGATATAGGCGAGTGGAACTGTGTAGGTAAAGCCAACCTTAACCGTTACAGGTATCACAGAACAAGTTTTCAGTCAAAACATCATCTCCTTTATACCAAACATTCCATCTTATCTGTCGTACAGCCGTTAGTGTTCTGGCCGGAAGTCAACACTCCCCCTCGGACGGAACACTCGGGCTAATCCAACTCAACGAACACCCAGCCCTTCTCGAAACTGCACGAACTTCCCTTCCGGTAACGGCTTCGTGAGGATATCCGCTACCATGCTGGTAGTGGGACAATACTCAAACTTCACCTGCCCCATAGATACCCTCTCACGCACAAAATGATGAATCACATCGATGTGCTTCGCACGTTCCGAAACAATTGGATTCTTTATCAGACTTAATGCTCCCTGGTTGTCACCCCAGATGCGCATCACGTCGATCTCACACCCAAACTCGGGCAGAAGTTTCCTCAGCCAGAGCGCTTCGCGAGTAGCTAGGGACGCCGCCATATACTCGGCCTCCACAGTCGATGCTGCTACAGTCGGTTGCAACCGACTCTTCCAGCTGACGGCTCCACCGCCAAGGATAAAGGCATATCCAGTTGTCGAACGGCGGTTGTCTCGGTCCACTGCCCAGTCCGCATCGGCATAACCCTCAATTGCCTTGCTGTCCCTGGCAAAACATAAACCGAAACTCGCAGTCCCCTTCAGATATCTCAGGATATCCTTAGCAGCCTCCCAGTGAGCCTTCGCCGGCTCAGACATATACCGCGCCAACTTAAACACAGCATGCGCGATATCAGGACGCGTGCACACTGCCAGATACATCAAACCACCAATTAACTCTCGGTAGCGCGTTGCATCCAACAATACCTGATCGATATCACTAGTACGGTTCAAAACTAGACTTGGCGTCATAGGAACCGACTTAGGAACTGCATCCTCCATCCCGAACTTGGCCAACAATTCGGCCGTATACCGCTGCTGCGAGATTTTGACCTCGCCTAGCTCCTTGCTCCGACTGATCTCCATACCCAAAAAGAACGACACCTCCCCCAAATCACGGAGGTCAAACTCAGCCTTCAACTCTTGCTTTATACGGGCTATTTCCTCGCTTTTGTTGCTCGCGACTAGCAAGTCGTCTACGTGAGCGTATAGCCACACCACAAATGACTGCTCTTCCAGCGTAAAGAAGCTGGGATCCGCATCAGAAACCTTGAAACCAATAGCCTCCAGCGTTTCCCGCAGCTTCTGGTGCCAAGCTCTGCCTGCCTGGCGTAAACCATACAACGCTTTCCGCAACAGACACTTCATACCTGCGCCACCCGTTTCAAAACCAGGCGGTTGGTCACAATAAATCACCTCCTCCAGCGTCCCGTTGAGGAACGCAGTGCGCACATCTAGGTGGTGTACCTCAAATCCTTCAGCCGCAGCCTTCGCCAGGAATGTACGCAACGTCACCTGATTGCTACCAGGCGCGAATACCTCATTGAAGTCAACACCTTCCTTCTGCTTATAGGCCTTTGCTACCAACCGGGCTTTGTATCGTTCCACTTGTCCGTCTACACCCCGCTTCACGTCGTACACCCACTTCACCGGAATCGGTTTCACCCCAGGCGGCGGTACCTTCAGCTCCCACGTATCTAATGCGTGGATAGATCCGATTTCTTCGGCCATCGCCTCCTGCCATTTGTCCCGTTCCGGAGAGGCCATCGCTTCCTCGTAGGTGCTCGGGATTTTGACGTCCGATACGTTAACAGCAAGGTTGAGTCGCTGGGGCGGATGACGGTCACGTTGGGGGTAACGATGTTGTGTAGAGGCAGCTGCACCAGCCTTATCCTCCCCCTCAGCTGCCTTACCGACAGCTTTAGGTTTCCCCTTAGTGGTCCCGCTGGTAGTCTTAGGCTTCCCTTTGGCGGAATCGGCTGCACCGCCGGTAGCCGTGGGTTCCTCCTCAGGTGCCTCAGGTACTGCGCCAACTACCATAGGCTCCCCCTCATTCAACTCAGCTGAATCTCCAATCGCCGCGTTCCCCTGACTATCCTCTACGGCCTCACTCGGACTAAACTGCTCCCCCTGCCGGGGAGGGGCTGCAGTCTTGCAACTACTGCTAGCCACATCGTCCTCATCGTCACTATCGCTTCCGCTGCCGCTGCTTTCGCTATCATCCGCAGGCAGCGTGCGGGACGTTGGCGTTTCCTCAAAAAGCACGCTCCTGCTCACTACGATACGCTTAGACCCGTCTAATAAAATCCGGTATCCTTTGCAGTTGCGTTCGTAGCCCACCAACACACCCTTCTGGCTCGTGGCATCGAGCTTATTGCGGTGCCTCCTCTCGACATGCACCCACGCAGTACACCCAAACACGCGCAAATCAGAGACATCTGGCTTCACACGGTGGAAAACTTCAAAGGGCGTTATCTGCTTGCCCGACACAGGCGAACAATTATGCAGGGCACATGCAGTGGTAATAGCTTCGGCCCATAGTTCATGCGGCAATCCTGAGTCTTGCAACATCGCGCGGGTCTTCTCCAGGAGTGTGCGGTTCAGCCTCTCAGCGCGGCCATTTTGCTCAGGAGTGTACGGCACGGACGTGTCATGCTGGACCCCCTTACCCTTAAGGTACTGTCCTAGAGCCTTATTCAAATACTCCCCACCGCGATCCGACTGAACTGCTAGCAGCTTCTTGCCCGATTGGGTCTCTAACAGCTGCAATACTTCCTGGGCCGCTTCCGGAACTTCTCCCTTCGTCCCTACACAGCGCACCACTGCAAAACTCGAATGCTCATCCAGAAATGTGGCGACATACCTTGACCCGCCCATAGACGGAACAGGCATCTCACACACATCCATATGCACTCGCTGCAAAACACGGTTTGCTGCATTCCCAGACGGAGGAAAAGACGCGCGGGTATGCTTGGCCTTCACACACGGCTCACAGATACTCTTTTCCTTCACCTTCTCCCGGACATCAGCCGCGCTCAGGCCCATACCAGTGACCATTTCATCAGACACGAGCTTCTCTAAATTACCGTACCCTATGTGTCCGAATCGACGATGCCAAAGCCCCGCAGATTCAGACAAGACCGCCAGGGTTTGAACACACTCCCCCTGGCCCAATCGGGTCGCCTTTAGGTAGTAATGGGTGCCCACCCGCACACACGGGATTTGCTCCCCGTACTCCCACTCCAGGCTTGCGTATTTCCTTATCCGCGGGCCTCGGCTGACAAGACGTTTCGGCTGCCTAATCACAGCAACCGGCCCACGAAAATCCACGTGGTAACCCTTCAGACCTAGTTCGCCTACCGAAATCAGCTTGTGACCTAATCCCGGCGCATGATACACATTCTTTAGGGTAATCTTAATCTTGCCTTTCTCTCCCTCTGCTTCTAACAGGACGGTACCCACTCCAACCGTCTTGCAAATCGCACCCGCCACACCTTCTAGGACTATGCCGTCCGTGAGCGGTACGTACTCGCTGAAGTCGGACCGGTCGTCCGTAACATGGACGGCCGCGGCCGAGTCCACTTTCCAAGCCAGCTTGGCGAGCGACTTCTCAGCTGTTGCCTGGATTTCCTTGGCTTCGGAGGTGGTGGAGGTGGTTAGGGCCATTACCAGCTGCTTGCTGCGTCGGTTGTTGCCCCTGTTGTTGCCTCTTGTGACGAGCGGGCACTGAGACTTGATATGCCCCAGGACACCACATTTATGGCACTTATGGGTTGCGTAGGGGTTGATGGAAACATCAGGCCCGCCAGAGCTGGTACTCGCCCCGACGTTGACATTTCCCTGGCCTTTACCAGCTCCACTACGGTAGTCGCCACCGAAGCCACGGTGGCCTACCCCACTGCTCCGGTTGCTAAACGCCAGGGCCTCGGCCTGGGCCCACTCTGCGTTGTTGTCACCTTGCATCCGCTCCGCCAGGAGTAGAGCGGCCTTGATTTCCGAAAGCTTCATGTCACTTGGCGGCTTGGCAGCAAAAAGCGTCTGCTGCATTTGGAATTTCTTATGCAAACCACCCAAGATAGCCAGGGCGAATTGGCAGTCGTCGGTCTTCGAGCCCACTGCAACCATTTGCTCGCGCAGATCCTCTGCTTCCTCGAAGTAATCAACAACGGACTGGCCTGTCCGTTGCTTCAGGTTGCTAAATTTCTGCTTTATGAACAAAATGTTCGCTCCGATCTCAGACACGCATTCGGCGCGGATCGCATCCCACGCTGCGGCAGAGTCGGCTGCTTGATCGATCAGCCTGTGAAAACGGGGCACCGTATATTTCACCAGCTGCGATTTTGCCTTCATGGACTTGTCGGCGACGGCGCTCGGCAGGTCTGCTGCCTCGTCCCACAAGTCCTTGCCGGCCAAACAGTACTTCATGGCCGTCCGCCAGCGAAAATAGTTGGCGTAGCTATCTAATCGCTCTACATCATTGTCTAACATACACACATTCCTTTACATACTTATATTACCAGTTGATGCAAGAAATCCCAAGAAAGGAGATGCGGCTGACCCGGCCGGCCCTAAGGAAAACTTACGAAAATATACGACCAGCCAATGGAAAGACCCTCTGTGGCTCGGCTTCTTTGCTCCCAGGCATAGAAGTTTGGTAGCGCCTGTAATAAAAACGAAAATAATCAGAGTAGCTCTGTTTTTGCAAAGGATGCCCGTGCACGGCGGCATGCAACCGCCTCGAAATCAGCCAGCCGGGTAGTTTTTGTACCTTTGACGGTTGGTGGAAATAATGACACTGGAGCGCATTCTCGCGAAGCCAGCAACATAGTTAGGATAAACGAATAAAGTTGACCCATGCCCTGGCCCTGGCTCTTCGTTGCCTTATTCCTATCTCCATACTGCGGTTGCTTGATGCTACCACTGCGCCGCTCCCCTGCTTCGTGTCCCAAATCGAAAGCGTGGCTATCCGCCGCTAACCCCGCCATGGGAGTTTTTCGTAGGTCTGGGTTAAGGAACGAATTATGATAAGTACAACGTGATTGTCGACTTAATACATCCGTGGTGGCGAATTTAACCAGATTTAACACTCGACGGCCACTGAGTAGTTCACATTTTCCACCAAATCTGCGCCTATAGAGTAGGACGGATGTTCGCATACAACCTCAGTGTAGTAATCTAATTGTAATCGGCGAAAAGCTCCTATACGGCCGTACAACGCTCGCTAATCCCGGCAGCCGTAACCTTCCTAATGCATGCTCATCCGCGGGATGTTTCCATTTGCCACGGATTCATCCTTAATCCGTGACGTTATTCCTAAGTGGAAACATCCCCTTGGTGTGCCGACCTGCAATTCGTAATTTTGCTACTATCCACCCAAGAAATCCGCAACAAAATGTAGCCGTCCTCGCTGTTATGGATTGAGCTATCATGCGAAAGAGCATTAGCTAGAGTCAAGTAGCGGTTCCTAGTAGCGATTCCTTCGCGTGTGTAAGTGTAGTTGATATGTACATATCATGTACATGTGTGCTGTACTGTGTAACAGCTACTACATCAGGCCTGATGGTCAGCCCTAGGGCTTGGCCTTTGCGAGCTTTTTGAGCTCAGTGATGCTGACTGGCAGCAACACCTTGTCCACAAAGTGCCCCACGTAATTGGGTGATTCTCCAAAACGGTCATTGCCGCCAAAATCGTAGTCACTGAGTACGGCTTTCACATACTGATTGGACAGGATGACCATCTTGGCAGGACCCGAGCTCGGGCGCTTGGGAAAGCTGCAGTGGGGATAGGAGGGCAAACCACATGCAGTACACATATACATATACATACAGGGGCTACAGAGAAGCAGAGGGAGGTGAAGAGCACTGAATATTGATGTAGTGCAGGTGGGTTGCCGGCGCCTGTGTATGGATGAAGTATGGACAACATGATGCATACTACTACCTGTTACCAAGCAAAGAGGAAAAGCAAGCAGCATGCAGGTAGGTTTACTTCCTAGGCGCACACCTACAGGTAGCTTGGAGCCACACATGTAGCATACATACATAGACAGGGGCAGAATGAAAGCTTGCAGTGTGACTACATAGTAACTGGCCTCTGAAAAGCCACTCAAAATGCTGGTCAAGCACTTTGCTTGTGCTTGTAGTTGATACATGTGCTGTACTGTGTACCAGCTACTATACATTCCTCCCCCTTTCTGAAGTCCGATGGGGTGAACGGATTAGGGTGCCCTCTCACAGGGGAGAGCAGCGAACTGCCTCGGGAAAGGGGGCCGCTGGCGAAGCTATACCACCCTGTAACAACATACATACATATACACTGCTTTGTAGCTATATAGAACATAAAAGAACTCTACATGTACGTGCAGCTGTACAGCTGCAGGTGGGTAGGAATCCAGCCAGCCAGTTGTTTTGCGATGGCGTGCGGGGTCTTGGGAGCTCATCACATTGGCAATACCCAAATCCTGGTAGGGGGCTCAAAAGCAATGGCCGGTGAAAAGCATGCATTTGCTGACTAGTCTATGTTAGATATGCATGTTCGGCCGCCGCCATTCTCCATCTCTTGCTTTTCATGCACACTTCTACCTAACCCATTACATACCTACGTGTCATTACTATCAATGCTTGCTGCAGATGCGCTTCCTCAAACACATGTTCCCACCACTCACATGGTTAGGTCTCCAGTGGCGTTCAGCGGTCCGGCCATTGTGTCGAGCCTGATGGGGGCTCCATAGCTGATGAATGACCCCGTGAACAGCGCTGATCCGTTAATGATGTGGGCCTTGGTTAGCAGGTCTACCAGGCGAGTGTTGGACAACAGAGCGGCCTTGGTGATACCGAGCTGGCTGAGGAGCGACGTGAAAGCCTGTGTGAGTGTATGTGTGCAAAACCATCTCCATTATCTGTGTTGTTTGTGAGCAGGTATGTATGTGTGGAACAGGGGGGCAGCTACCCTGCGAAACCCTGCCTTCCCCGGTATTTCGGGGCACCCTCAGCTTGTCACGTGACTAGGGTGCACCCTAGTCAACTTCTCAGTGGATTGCTCAGGTTCCGCACCCACCACTGGCATCCAACAGAATCTGCCGGAGCGACGGCGGCTCAACTCCATTCCTGTTCAGCTCTCAAGATCACTTTATCCCAGGTCACCACCGCCCATCGACTAGGGGCACTTTACCCTCCACCATCAGAAGGATTTTCGACCCTGACAGTTCTCAATCCCGGGATCTCCTGGGGGCAATGGTCCGTGCCTTACCCGTAGTGCCTAACCTAGTATGTATGTATTTATGACTTAGATTACATTGTGGGCCGCGAGAGCCGGGGGCCAAAGCCCAAACACAGCGCAAGGGTCGGATGCACACAGCACATGTATGTATGTATGTATGATGCGGAATACGCATCATGATGTGGAATACACATCATTCCTTCACAATCTACATCAAACGACATCGTTCGTATAATTTTGTTTTTAACTTTGCATGGTGGAAAGCAGCAATATGATAATTACTGCTTGGTCGATCTCACAGTACTGCTGGAAGGTGCAGTTATTAGGCGGTGCACTGCTGGTCCGTTCCCCTCTTACATTATCGTGAGGTGTGAAGATGGTGATGTCGGTTCCCCGTGCAGGGTCCACCAGGAAGGAGCGGAGAGAGCTTGCAGAGAAGACCTCATAGGCAATTGTTGTAAACATTTTAACGAACTCCAGTGCTGTATCGTAGTAATCTGGAGGTGCTATGGTGAGGTACTGGCCGCCATTGTCGATCAAATGAATGATGCTCTGCAGTTAACAACAGCAGTTCCGACCTAACATTTTAGCAGTTAGCAATGAGTTGTTGGAGCAGCAACATACAGAAGCAGCGAATGAAGCAAGGAAGATGGCTACACTCGTGCAGTGGCCCCACTTAGTCTTATCTTAATACGAGTCCTATGTACTATCTTAATACTACTACCCCCTTGCTCCTTTCATGTACTTCATAGCTACTTAGGAACACAGTTGAAATGCACCCATCGGCAGTGTTTTTTTCATTTTTGCCCGTCAATTTTCCAGTCCGAACGGAGGAGTAGGTTTTTAGTCACGGGAATAAAAGTATTCCGAATCTGTAAGGCACTGAGGGGAGCTACAGATCCCCACAGTTGGCGCATGTACAAGGCACACCAGACACTGAGAACATCACGCAGTTGGTGCTGAATACACTGAACATGGAGGCCGAAGGCTCAGCCAGACTGCACCGTTCCTGCTGAGCATCCACTGCATGGCACACCAAACAGACCTCACTGTTGCCACGCTGAAAAAAGCCCCGGTCGTCAAGATGATTGTGAGCGTCATCAAGGACATTTACAACTACTTCTCGGGCAGTGCTAAACGTGTGAGCACGTTTGAGGATGTGGCCAAGGCTGCAGGAATGGATGGCAACCAGCTGAAGTGCATCGTGGAAACGAGGTCGATCTGAGCACGAGAGCCAGCGGCCTCCCTGCTGGCCGAGTACCCAGCGCTGCTGCCACTGTTCTGCAAGGAGGAGGAGGAGGAGGAGGAGGAGGAGAAGCTGTAAAACACACTACAGGACGCCCGCCTGTATGTCTCGATGCATGCGCTGATGCCCGCCGTGGGCTGTAAATTGGTGAGCTGGCCAAGGCACTTCAGCACACCAAGGACCGGCTGCATGAGATGTACCTCAGGCCAGAGACCCACTACACCACCGTGGGGTTCGGGGACTTCAAGGAGCTGCTGTCAGTCGATGGAGACATCAAGGGCACCGCCTGGGAGTTCAATCCCGACATGCCGGAGGAGGAGCAGATCTGGTTGATGTATGGCAGCAGCGGCTTCTACCCCTTCACCACTGATCCTCCTCACACTGGCCGAGACCGCACGCCACTGCCTTTGACACCGGACTGCCTGGCCCAGGTCATGAAGTCGGTGCAGGAGGATATGTCAGCCATGGTTGAGGAGCTGATGGGTGAGCTGACTTCATGGTTTCCCCTGCATCCACTGCTGGAGGCAGCATTGATTGTCTACAGCGAGTACTGGGAGAACAGGCCCACAGCAGCCGACTTTAAGGTGAAGCTGAAGATCCTCAAGGACTACTACTGCCGTGAGTGGGTGGACGCTAACTCTGGCAAGGTGCCACCGATGCTGGACGGCGCCTTGTTGGATGAGCAGGCGACCTTGTTCACCTCCAGCGCTAGCATAAATCAGCTCGCTGCACGGCAGCGCCTCAGGGGAGCGTGAAAGCAGACCGAGCAGCAGAGGCAGCAGGCAGCAGCAGTGGACCTAGACGTACCCACATCCAAGCATGATCACCGGGTGCTGCGCAATGACACACCCACAGCACAGGTGTGGCAGGCCATCAGCAACTGTGCGGCCCTCGCTGGCGGTTTGACGGAGTTTTTGGCTTTGGGCCAGCTGGTGCTAGTGATGGTGTCGGGGTCAGTTGAGGATGAGTGGCGGTTCTTGGCCATGGGGTATTTGCAGGACCCCACCTGCAACCGCCTGGACGAGCACCTAGCACTGTGTGTGTGGATGTTCGACCTAGCGCTGTTCGACCTGGGCATGTTCCCGTTCCCGTTCCGTGACGCACTGAGGAAGTGGCTGGACAGCAGCAGCAGGGGCTGGTACATGATGAACCGGTTTAGTCCTAGTGTGCTGTGGTTTGCAGCGGCGGGTGACAGCCTGTGATTTGCTATGCGGTTGCTTGCTTTGGGCCTTTGCTTGGTCAATTTTACTTATTGCTCACAAACACTGCCAGAACTATCTACGCATGTGCATGAAGAGTGCACACATGAACGACAAGTCGGGTGTCGGCTTCCTCGAAGCCAGGAAAAGGGCGGGGGGCCCCCGCATCCGTACAGGCCGGTAGCTAGGGTAGTGTCAACGTGGTGGGAGATGTGCTTGTTGCAGCAGTGCTGATGCTGTGGGATCTAAGCTTGCACCAGCGGAATCGTCAGCACCGCCTGCAGGCTCCACGCGATTCGCATCCATCCCGGGTGCATGCCGCATGGACAGTGCGGCAGACCACAAGTCGGAATGCCCGTGCGGGCAAATGGTAATGCAAGCTGGGTGAAGTCCGGTGCTGTCTGTGATGTTTATCCCCGAAGCGCCAGCGGCTTCAGCAATCCGCCCCACAGCCGCGAGCTTCGTCACGGCACACCGCAAGTCTCCGGAGGCCCCGAGCATTGGCTAAAGTAAATGTACAGACGAGCAGCTTGTGTATTTCATAGAGAAATGAAAGCAAATTTGTCGGCCTGCTGGTCGGAATGCCCTTGCGGGCAAAAGGTAACACAAGCTGGGTGTTCAAGTTATCAAACGCCGTCACCTCAGAATCCAATATGACATACGCGGGACCTTTTGAGATTAAATTTAGCCCGAGGGGGCGCTGATGTGACTTTGACCTCGGTCAATGGAAGCAGCCAAACTTGTTTGTGCTCATACGATTTTTGTTGGCTACAGGCGAGATACCTTGCGATAGGGAATGCAATATATTACCAATAACGCGTTTCAGCTGGGCGAGATGTTAAGTTTGGTCCGTTACACACGGCCACACGGCCACACGGACATGGGCAATACTACAGGTCGGGGCCCCGGGGCCCCACCCAAAAATCACTGCTCGCATGTCTACACATACAAACATACATGTTCGCCAATCACTTGTGAATGCACAATTGTTAAGATTGCCTCACCAACAATCTTGCCTGCAATAGGAAGTGATACCAGCATATCTTTTGAACATGAAACAAACCTCCATGCAGCACTGGGTTACACATACATGACCTACCTTTCCACCCTTCAGGTCTGCCTTGATGATTTTGCCAGGTACTCCGTCCTCGCCATAGAAGACGGTGTCTTTTATCAGCTGGTGCCTGCACGGCGCGACTAATGTTAATAGATTATCAAACCTTTACTGACGTCCCGCCCTGCCTACACACAAAACGAGCAAAGTCCACCAACTTGCAAGGGAGTTCATCACCCACATATATGGCAAGCTGCAGCTCCACAACGAACCCATTGTTAAGAACGCACTTGAACTTTAATATCTTGAACGTTGTTTGCCACCTTTGAGGAAGGGCCGTGTAGTAGATGTCTTCGTTCAGCTTTTTGAGGGTGAGGGCCTTCTGTCCATCAACACAGTGCTGCAGAAGTAGACCCCACACAAAGCGGCCTTTCTGATCTCCGGGCTTGGTCCAGCTGTCCCAAGAGTACCATTTATTTATGTCGTATACCTATGATGAACGTATATTAATGAGCGTGCACAGAGCAATACAAACATACATACATACATAGGATCAATCACAGGGACGAAGTAAAGAGAGAAACACATTGCAAAGTGAAGTGTGTGGCAACAGGCCTAGGTAGGCGGGTCGAGTACTGGATAATGAACAAAATTCACGAAGTGTATGCAAGCAGTCCTGCTGCCGCTGCTGCTGCTGCTGCTTACCTTTTGTTCATCACGATCGTAAATGTACCAGCCTGATGACGTGGGCCATGACATGGGCTTTTAGGACAGCTACAGTAGGGTGTGTAGGGTAACTCTCTTTTTAGTATCCACTACGATATCATGTAGAGGCTCCATTTTGTGCCGCTTGCTTATTACTCACAGCCTGTCTATCTGTACCTTGCTTCAACACAATTCATCTGCAATATGATTAGGTGGGCACATACATGCATGCATGAAACCCGAAGTAACCTACGCCCAACTCAGACAGGCAGATAGCTAGAGTGCATCACCACACACCTCGCTGGACGGCAGGAAGCAGGTTATCATGGTGTTGGGATCCTTGAGCACGCCAAGCAGCCCCGTGTAGTTGAATACACCCAGCATGGGACGCAGCTTGGGAGTTGCGGACATCAGGTCGTACAGGGTCTTGTAGACGGTTACATTGCTGGGGGCAGCGGTTAGGCTCCTTGCAGCATCACCTGTACGTATGTACACCCACACAAGGCATAACAGAACAAGGAAGCAACCTTCTGAAAGGATGGTTCAATGTTACACTTTCCATGACGACATGCAAGTACCGCTGCCAGCCGCCGGCCAAGCAGCATCAGTAACATGTTTCATCCCGTAGACATGGTGTCCTAGTATAATAGGTACAGACGTTCCCTACCTGCCCAACATACAAGGGCACAGCCTATACAGGATATACATTTTGCAGAGGGAGGAGCAGGCAGGCAGTTACCCCACAAGGGGTCTCGAGGTGGCCATTGGGGCAGAGGGGGTGTCTAGGGGTTTCCTGCGGGGTCCGCAGATTCCGACCCTGTAGTAATGGGCCCCTAGACCCCGCGGGGTCGCGACCCGATCACAACAGCCGACAGCCCTCAAGCATCGCGGTCATAGCCAGGAGCAGGTGCTATTAAGCAAGCCAGAGAGCAGTATTGGTGCAGTATTTTAATAGTAGTCTTGCTCGTTAGGAACGAATCTGCACCTAGCTAGGGGCCAATGGGCCCCCCTAGGCACCCACCCTTTCGGGCTATCCCGCTTTGTCCTAGCTAACTGCCGATCCAATAATGCTATAATAATTGTATAAGCGAAGACCAACTAGCTTACTTCATATCCTTGCACTAAGCTTAGGTAGCGATACTTAGTCCATCCAATATCGGAAAACATAAAATGCCCGATACGTTTCACTTACAGCGTATGCTCCACGCTTGGATACACACGAAGGCTGCTATAGAAAGACTTAGGAGGCTGCCTTTCCTCATGGCCGTCGCAGAACCAATGCAACCAAAGATTAGAAACGGTAATCAGACTTTCTTGGAAATAATGCGCCTGAATGCTTGTTGAATGCTAATGCTCATCGCTCCGTACCGGACTAGCGTGAAGTGGGCCTTTGCGTCCAGCCTTACACCCGATCCCAATGTTTAATCAGGCCACACCACATCCCATTACTGTTGTGGGTGGGAGGGTCATTGGTTGGTCCGTAAGGTTTCGGTCTTGGGTCCGGGGCGGCGGTAAGTACTTGGATGGTATGATAGGAATATTTATTGGCTTCGCTTACGGCTTCTTGTGGTCTCCAATGCGTTCGGTCGATGTGCGCCTGTTGGTCCGCCTCCTTGCATCCAAGCTGATTGCCTTATCCTTAGGTTTAGTTTTATTACGAAGGGTTTCCGAATGGCCTGAATGGGCGACCTTCCGGTCGCGCTTCCGTACCGCTGTCATGCAACCGCTTCGAAATCAGCCAGCCGGGTAGGTTTTGTACCTTTGACGGTTGGTGGAAATAATGACACTGGAAAAAACGGAGCGCATTCTCACGAAGCCAGCAACACAGTTAGGATAAACGAATAAAGTTGACCCATGCCCTGGCCCTGGCTCTTCGTTGCCTTATTCCTATCTCCATACTGCGGTTGCTTGCTGCTACCACTGCGCCGCTCCCCTGCTTCGTGTCCCAAATCGAAAGCGTGGCTATGAACAGTGTAGGGAAGTGGAACCCTACTAGTTCTTTTGAGCCCGGGAAGCTTTTACCTCGGGCGGCGGGACACAGCTGGAAACGGCTGCTGACTGGTGCATTTTGCCGTCCAATAATAGGGCGGAATGTATCGCAGCTCACGCTCACATTGCACAACAAACTACCCCAAATCTATCGCTTACACTTACGGCAGCTTAGGGCGAGCAGCACTCGCTACAGAAGCTGGGAGGTTTATTTAATAAACACGGCAAAGGCAGTTTTACGACAGCTGATGGCTAACCATATTGATACCGACCTTCAAGTCACAGGTTTCACTCAATTTCATCAGGATCGTCTTGCAGCGTGTTAACACAAAACTGAGCACTTAGGGGGTGCTTCCATTTAGGATTAACATCGCAGGTGTCTTTAATCCGCCGCTAACCCCGCCATGGGAATTTTTCATAGGTCTGGATTAAGGAACGAATTATGATAAGTACAACGTGATTATCGACTTATATATATATAATACATCCGTGGTGGCGAATTTAACACTCGACGGCCACCGAGTAGTTCACATTTTCCACCAAATCTGCGCCTATAGAGTAGGACGGATGTTCGCATACAATCTCAATGTAGTAATCTAATTGTAATCGGCGAAAAGCTCCTATACGGGCGTACAACGGTCGCTAATCCCGGCAGCCGTAACCTTCCTAATGCATGCTCATCCGCGGGATGTTTCCATTTGCCACGGATTAAGCCCTAATCTGTGACGTTAATCCTAAGTGGAAACATCCCCTTGGTGTGCCGACCTGCAATTCGTAATTTTGCTGCTATTCACCCAAGAAATCTGCAACAAAATGTAGCCGTCCTCGGAATGTTGTTATGGATTGAGCAAGCATGTGTAAGAGCATTAGCTGGAGTCAAGTAGCGGTTCTTGTGCTTCAGGTTGCCGTTGCGCAATCGCTTCCAATAATTCGCCCTGTCCTTCCACGGGGCCAGCATTGCTGTCCTGTGGAAAGGGGCATCTTATGGAAGAAAGATATACGCGGGCTTGATTCGTCCGCGTCAAGCATGCTAGCACCTCTTCTCAATTACCGCTTTCTTTTACCTGAGCTGCAGCTCAGGGATGCCGTTGGGCACCATGGGAATGCTCTTCGGCTTCGTAAGTTCGTCTCCGAACTGATATCAGGAATCCGGCCTCTGAGAGTTGGTGTCCTGGGAGGGAGGTAAGCACGGGCATTGTGCCACAAGCTCACATCCGTGTCCCCTCTCCTGTATGTCCCCCGTCTCTCAACCTTTCGCTTGCCTCCTAACAACTATTTCTCTCAGCTAAGTCAAGCGGCACCCACGTTTCCCAATCACGCAGTATCAGCTGGGGTGAGGAGGCCACCGTGCGCGGCCACACTGACTGGTTCTCCATCTTCACAGATTGGCTGGTAGGCGCCGTACTATCGTACTGAGCGGTGCTACACTGCACTCACCCCATCTCCAGGGGCTCAGGCCGCGCGCCCGTGTTCGGCTTTTCGGGGTGCCTTCGTTACCCCCTCGTGTCGCTGTCCTACCCACATGCCCGGTGCCACAAGTCTTTTCCACGACCAACACCACGACCAACACCCTCGATGTTGGCCGGCCACCTCACCCTTTTTCCCCCTTCGGTAGATTCACTTGATGTTCTACCCCCTGCATTTCCCTCTCCCTCCCCCTGTCAACCCGTCGATATGCTGTAGTCGTCTGTATCCTCCTCCTCCTCCTCCTCCCGCCGCCGCACCTCTCAGCCGCGTGTATCAGCTCGCAATGGCTGTGTGCCCGGCACCACCTCGACCTACTCGTTGCTATGTTTGGAGGAGCTGGTGGACCAGGAGGTGGATTTAGTCCTCGTGGAGTGAGTGCCTCCTGCATGTAACCCGCGGGCCGGGGGGAGAGGTGGAAGGGCCTTATGGGGGGCCTCGTGTGGGCTGGGGGGTTGAGGGTAAGGAGAGTGGCAGGGGCGGTGGGCTGGCTAGGTGGAATGGTTGAGGGACTGGCTAGGGCGGATGAGATGGTAGATGGGTCTTCAGCTTGGGGCTATGTTGGCCGGCATTAGGGAGGTGGGGGCTGACAGAGCGGATGGGGCGTTTGGGGGGGGGGCTGCCCTGGGGAGAACATTTGAAGGTGGGTCGCATGGTAGACAGACAGACAGACAAGGCAGGCCAACATATGTGTTATTAGCCTAAGCGGCAGGCCCCGCACACCCCGCTTCGGCCGGTGACGTAGCGCGAAGGCTCAATTAGTGTCTGCCTTACAGAACATCGCATTGCCATTGTGCGTTGCGTACCGCTGCCTTGCCTTGCAGGTATGGTGTCAATGATGTCTTTGCCGACCAGCTGGTTCACAACACCGCGGTGATGGGCTTGGAGAGGTTGTTGAGGCGGCTGATGGAACTGCCGGGTTGGCCAGCAGTGGTGGGGGTGGCGGTGCCGCGTATCAAGACCTCCTCGTTTGGCGCCTTCCATGCAACCAGGTGAAGCGGAGGGAGGGGGGGAATGAGAGAGGGGGGAGAGAGAGGGGGGATGGGAAGGGGGGGAAGGACGGGGATGTTCAACCCATAACCTTTCTGTGTAGGTAGGTTTTGTCCTCTGTACGTTACGATTTTTAAGAAAGGTAAAGAGTGCTAACCGGTCATCCACCGCCATCCGCCGGAGAGATCCCGCAGATCCATCTAAGCTGACGTGCAAGGGCCGCTAACCGACTGTCAGTTTGTTGGGTTTAGGGGCCGATAGATACATCGAACTAACAAATCCCGCCGGTGGCATCCGTCTCCAAAACAGTCTTGCAAGACACAACCTGGGCGGGCGAGCCGGCCGGCATTCATCGTTGCCGCGCATTCCCTAGACATCAACAACGACTAACAAATGCGAAGAGAAATAGTTTTGCCGATCAATGACGACGGCTCTAAACAGCTAAAGAGCTCTGGCAGAGCCTACTATTTCTATTTAATCTGTACGATATTTTTTCCGTAACTTTTAACTCGTTTAAATTAAGGTGATGTTTCCATGCTAGCGTCCAAGGAGTAGCCTCCTCTCCTCAAGTTAAGTCTGCATATGAGCTTTCAAGGGGGGTTTGACGGCCCTCCCCTTTGGGAAGCCTCGAGACATGTAATGGAGCGCGTGCCCAACCCCTCTTGCCCTGTCTTGGCCCCGAATAAGCAACCGCCTGGATGGATTTCCCCCTTCCCCCTTTCCCTACACAAACATACATACATGACCACCGTGCGTGTGTGGGTGCCGTCCACACCTACCCATGGATATGTTTGCTTTTCGTGCACTGCTGGTGGTGCGGGTGGACGCCGCGACAGCGAAGACGTGCAAGGTACCCGTCGGTGGGGGTCATTAGAGTTTGGTTTGTCGCTGACACATACGGGTTGCGTCGTTATGTGGTTGTTACCGTTAAGCAGTTAGTTTTTCCGTTAGACCCGCATCTTCCCTACCTTAGCAGATTTCCTTTTTCTTCTGCCCACGCACTCGCAAACCCCCTACTTACCCTTCTTCCGCAAACCTAGTTACCTAGCGCCACTAGGAGCCGCTTTCTTCCTTACTTAAGGACCTAGGAGAAGGGATGGTGAGAAAAAAGGGACACCCGCCATCCCAACCGTTATTCCAACCACCATCCTGAAACCGTGCGACCCCTCATTCCGGCCCACCCCCTTCGTCTTGAACTTTTCCCCTCTCCGCCTTCACGCGCCTCTGGGGGCCCCTTGGCCCCTTCGTCCTCTTCCTTTCCCCACTTCCGTACAGGCTCTCTGTCGGCTTACTACGACTTCCCGACCGTATCGCTACGTAACGCTCTCTACACCGCCAATGTGCAAGAGGGCCCGACGGAGGGCTGCCTCTTCTGGAACCAGACTTTTGTAAACGCCCATCCCGGGGATGCAGGCCATAAAGCCCTCGCAGATCTTGTCGTACACCTGATCCAGGAGACGGCACTGGGCCTGGTATGGCATCCGGTTTCGGAGCCGGAGGTGAAACGGCGTGGGGAAGCCCTTCCGCCACCCATGTACGAAGGTACGGCCTTATGGTGGCAATGGGAGCAGAGCAATGTGATAATCCCTAGCTTTGGGTGAGACTCCGAAGCTTGTTGGAAAGGCCAACCTCCCCCCCCCTTCACACCGTGGGGTCCAACACTGGTGGGATTTAAGATCCTAGTCGATTTCGCGCCGACCACCTTTCTTCACATCGCCTTATCTCCCACCCTTCGGTGGTCGATCACCTGTTGCTGTATGCCGCCTTCCGTGTTACCATACACTTGTATGCATGTATGTATATATATATTTGTGTATGTATCTAATGTAAATGTATGTATGTACGTGTGCACGGGACACAGGAAACCTGCCGTTGCCGACGCGGACGCGGACGTGCCTGGTTGGTACACACATGCGCAACTTGGCTGTCTCGGCGACCGGGACATGGAGCTGGGTGAATGAGGGCAGTACGGCAAAACCCAGATGGGGTTTCGTGGCCACCACTCCAGGAAGCGAGCTGCGGTTGAGAGTGGATACGAACGACCCACGGGTCACGGCTGCAGCGGAAACCGAAAGCGGCGGCTCCACCGTCAAGCCGGCCTCCATTGTGTCGATTTTACTGCATTACCTTCGGTCGTACCAGACGGTTATGGGTACCGTGCTCGTACGGTACGTGGTTCCTTGGGGTAGGATGGGTGAAGTGGCTTCGGGGTGCATGGCTGAGTCCAGGAAGGGGCGGGGCTTGTCCCCGGCTTGGCCTGCGTGGGGTGGGAAGGAAATGGGTATTGACTTAGGTGAGTACATGTTTCCTGTTTCCTGTTTACTGGGGTTTTAGGGAAAGCCTTTCTGTTTTAGCTTCGTTGTTGCGCTAAATAGCGAGCTACCAGGATGCTACAAGTGGCAGTGGTGTGGATAGCCCCGCTCGACTTGCTTCTTCCCTTCACGGCTCCATATCTCCTTCCCCTCCGGGATGGACGTAAATGCTCCCGTGCATATGTACGGACTCATGTACGGACTCATGTACGCGGGCCCGCAGTTGTGAGGGCGGCTGCACGTGCCACCGTCAAACCTTGGACGGTTACCTTCCGCCGCATGGGGGGGAGGAGGATGAGGGGGAAAGGTCGCTGGGTAAGGAGCGAGTGACCCAGATCAGTGTGGCGCATTTCAAGACCTGGAGGACGGACAGCGAGGCCGCCAACTGCGACCTGAGGATCAGTGTGCAGAACGAGACCAGCGCGAAGGGCCACAAGTTTAAGGTAGGTGTGTATGGATGTTTGTGCACGTGGGGCTTATGCAGACGAGGGTTTTGGTGGGGGACATGCAAGTGCTTGTTGTTGCCCGTACTTCGCAGCAACGTGTGCAATGCAGGTAGGGTGCAGTTGCATTAACTGGGTCGGATGTCTCCGGGGGAAGGCAGCGGCTGGTGTGGAGGTGAAGTGGGCGGGCTCAGGGAGGAAACGACTCGGTCTTCCGGGGTTGGAAAGGATTTGGATCACGAATATCCGGATCCACGCGGAACGGGGGGTGGCTTGACAAAACGACAGACGGACTATTTACGTAGACGCTCGGATCAGAGTGACAGGGAAGGCTCTTCTCACCAAGATTCCTCTCCCCACCCTCCGCTCCTTTCGCTCTGACCCGAGCGTCGTCTACGTAAATAGTCCGTCTGTCGTTTTGTCTGTCTGCATGCATGCATGCATGCATGCGTACTAACATGCTGCTGGGCCGCTGCTTTTCCTCCACATCCTCACCCTCCACATCCTCATCCTCCACATCCTCACCCTCCGCCGCCTCACCCTCCACATCCTCACCCCTCCGTGAAGCTGACCGCCCCCGACATGCCTTTCCCGTGTTGGCGGTGGCCTGTAGGTATCTGGTGTCGTGGTGGGTGTCGGGTACGAGCTGGAGGGCATGTACGACCATAAGTACTGGCGCATCCCGGATGAGACGAGTGGACACTGAGGTAGAGGGAACGAGAATTGAGAAACAAGAGCGGCATCAGTTCATGGAGTGTACGGGCCGTGCATTGATGGAAGGTTGTACGGCACTGCTGGCCCCCTCCGCTTGAAACGGAAGTGTGCTGTGTCAATGGTGGGCCTTAACTCGGTGACTGCCGCTACCGCTAGCTCAGACGCGCCTAACTGATTGCTTGCTGCTGCTGTTGCTACTGCTGTTGATGCTGATGCTGCTTCCATCCGGGACTGCAGAGGACACCTTGTACAACTTTTGCTGTATGAGTGGCCGCTTTAGTGTGGCCTTAGTGTCCTTAGTGCGGGCTTTCAACTCAACTGACCAACTAACTCCCTGTCCGGGGTTTACGAGCCCTGTGACTGGACACCCTTTGGCGCTAGGCAGCATGCATCATGACGGGAATGTGGGGGCCATGACGGGCCGTTGTGCGACCGATGTGATGATCTTCCAGGTCGACAAAGGGATACTATTTCGGCGAAGAATATAATAAGCGAATGTGCTATGCAGAGAGCTAAGAGTCGGTTATTAGTCGAGTGCGACTGTTTCAAAGACGTCACAACCTCGTCGACTGTGGGAGCATATTCCCCAAGCTTACTTCCCATTGACGGATAGTTGCAGCGGTTGACCGTTGGGAGTTGTTGATCCGATACTGGAATCCATTTATGGATTGTTCATCATTGCAGCGGTTGAACCTTGGGAGTTATTGATTCATTACTGACATTTATCATAAAAAAGGAAATTGGTGGCAGCTGGGGGCGCTCGGGATTTTGTAGGTTGCGCTGCACTCAACTTCGTTTGCAGTACGGCCTCGTAAGCTAATACTATTGTGTGTGGTGGTATTTTATGGTAAACTCTGCAAGGAGTATTGTATGGGAAGGTGGCGGATCCGGCTCCTGATCGTATGGCACAGGGGAATACGGCAGTGCCTCTAGTATGGCGTTCAGTGGCGCTCGGGCAATTCGTTCATCGGTCGTTAAAGATTCGGAGGGGCTCCTGAAGCTCCAACTTGGTGGTCCCTGGAGGTCCGTAGGTTACATCGTCATAAAGCGGGGTGCACTTGATACCGTGCTATGGCTGTGTACTGGAGCCGCAGCCTGTGCCGCCCGATGCCACCTGTCTCGGTTCGAAGGAGGACACCATCTCTTTGCCTAGACGATGCGAGATGCTAATTGAGCAATATCACCTGGCGCTAAAAAAACTTGCAGTTCGTGGGCACTGGTCATGATTACTGTACGGTCGGTTCCGGAGCACACTGCTTATACTGCAGAAGATAAAATGTACCGATGGTGTTATTGCTTGTATTTATTTCTAATCCTTGTCCTTGGCATAATCGAGTGGTGTGAGAGTGGGACAGACAGTGAAGGAAGTGCGAGAAACATGAACTGACTTCGGTACTGTTGTTATCAGGGGCCAGGCATGCACAGGACACCTTTTCAATTCACGTAAAACTCTCACCCCTGCGATATTAAAACTTGTAATATAAGCGTTAGACGTTTCTTGGCGACGTTTCTGAATCAGACCTTGATGCGGTCTGCGCCGTGTCCCTCATCGCCGCGTTCCTTACGCCATACAGAGTTGCTGCGGCCTATAGGTGCAATTAAGAAAGATTTAGTCGAACCTGCAAGGCTTGTTCGCCCAGCCAAGCCAGCTCTTCCCTTGATGACAGCCCTTCCTCGGCTCGTGGCGTTTGATCTGGACGGAACGCTCTGGTAAGCGTAGATCTTAATCTGACTGTCCCAGTTTCAGCTTTACTCATCTCGGCTTTGCTGTGGACAAATAGACATTCCGTACAATCCTCAAACCTTTTGTCACACCGTGCAGGTGGCCGGAAATGTGAGTCAACGCACGCAGGTGGCTAACGACTTGGGGTCCCAAGCTTTGCTGTGGACTTTGCGGCCGAAACCCTGAGCCGGGCTGTTCGACTAAGTTTTTGGGCGAAGCCCAACAGCTCGCATCCCTGTCTCTCTCCATCGGACTATTTAAAGACTGTTCCATCGGTGCGGTTGCACCCACAGCTTTTGTGTCACATGAGCTCAACAGCGCCAATTCACCGTAGGCATGATTGCCTCACACAAGGCCCTGTAATAATTGTCCTCCCATCCGAGTTTGCAAACCATGTTTTGCTGTGCTCATAACTTGTGTTCATATTCGTGTTTTGCTGACCAGGCGCGGGCGGTTGGTTTTCCTGACCAGCAAATCAACCCTGCGATGTCCTGTACGGTGTCTTATACGGCCAAACAGGTACATGCTGGACGGCGGCGCACCCTTCCGACGGGACAAATCCGGTGCGGTGTACGACAAACGGAATCAGCGAATCGAGTTGATGGGCGCCACGGAAGCGGTGTTGGCGGAGCTGGCGACTAACCCTCGGTGGGGGCAGACGGAGGTGGTGGGTGGGGGCCGGGGGGTTGGCGATGTGTATATGTTACATGCTGGCATGTCGTACGGCGGGTTTGGGTCCTATGATTTCCCTCAGAGTCTCAACCCCCCACCCCGAGGTGGGCACACACACCCGAGCCCCTCGCGCTCGCTCCATTTCCAACCTCAAATGATTGCAAGCACCACCACCACCACCACAACCACCAGGTGTATTAAAGTCGGCGCTCCCCTTTCTTTTCCTGTCAGCCAGCTTGCCGCTGCCGTTGATGCCATTGTTATGCCGTACACCGTACACACAGGCGTACGTCAGCCGTACCGAATACCCCGAATGGGCAATCCCCTGCCTCAAGACTTTCCTCGTGACAGAAGACGGAAAGCACGGCACGTCCAAGAGCATGTTTGACATTTCATCGTACCAGGTACGGATATACGGCCCGTTTTAAGAAAATAAAGGTACTGAAGGTAGTCGTACTGCTTATTTAACGTCCCCTGCCGCATGCAAGCAAGCTACAATTTTGGAGTAAGAGCGACCTGGCGGCGGCCGGTGGGTCGAGATCCAGCTGGGTTAGCCAACACGCGGGACGAACCTGCTTAGGCCACAACACACAAGTGCTCACCCAAAACACCGCGTCCCGAGCTCTTCCACTCATCCCATGCCTTTTTTACCCGTCATCCCACCCCTTTCCCCCCAACACAAAACCCGCACTCCCACGGCCCCAAGGCACGTCTCCCCTTTCCCCCCTTAACATATTTGGATTTATTTCCTGGAAAGGTTTGTTTATGAAAGTGTAGCTTGATGTAACTTAAACTTTCTCCTCTCTTCCGCACGTCTCCCACTCTCACTCTCGCGCGCCGCCCTATGCAGGAGATCTACCCGGGCAGCAAACTCACGCACTTCCGAGCCATCCAGAAGAAGTCGGGCATCCAGTTTGAAGACATGATATTTTACGACAACGAGCGCTGGAACATTACCGAGTGTGCCAAATTAGGCATCACCTGCATTTACACGCCAAGAGGTCGGTTCCCGTTGGTAGTTGTACGGCCGTCCGTTGTGCTACCATCCTGCCGCTGGGTGGTTGAGCTTGTGTCGGCCATCCGGATGATTTGGGTTCAGTGGGCTGTTGCCCATGGAGGCACCCTTTCAAAACAGCCTGCCACACCCCCTTCATGTTATTCCGTCGGCCGTACGGCCAATCCGTGTACCGACTAGTTGACCATCATGTTCACAAGGCCGCCCCACTCGCCACCCGCTACCCGCTACCCCCAAACCCCCCTCAGGCCTTACTCGTGAAGCCTGGGAGAGAGGTCTCGCTGACTTTGCGATGGCGCGGAAAACATCTTAAACTGAGGAGCCAGGTTCCGCATCCGCAGCAGCAACAGCAGGAATGGAAAAAACATCGGAAGGACGATGAGGAGTTTGAGTTGGAGAGAGGCGTTAGGGCCTCGTAAAGGCAAAATGAGCTATAGATTGTGATTTGAGTCTTGCGTGAGCCTCCCAACCTAATGGAGGTGAGGGTGAGGCGAGTGTGCCAACGGAGTGGGCAGCAGCGGCAGCAGCAGAGAGGAGAGGGCTCGGCGACATACATGGAGTCGCAGCCGTTTGTGCGTACGTATGCATGTACGTATTTATGTATGTATTGTTACGCATGCATGTATTCGCTACTCGGAAGTTGGGTGAAAACTTGCGGCCTTTGTGACTTACTGCCTCGGTGCGGAGGGCGGCGCGAAGGAGAAGAGGACACTCTCTCTCTCTCTCTCTCTCTCTCTCTCTCACATGTCAGGTCCCCAGGGTAGGTTGTTACCCGGCGGCTGAGGGGTGTCCGCCACTGGTGGGGTGACCTCCCCTCCGCAACCACCACCATCGCGACGTGCGTGCGTGCTACCTGCGTGTATGTATGTATGTAATACTGCTGCGTGAAATTGCGTCTGCGGTGTCGGCGATGTGATGAATCATGGTATGGCTGCTGGCTGTGTTGGTTTTGATTGTAGGGGTAGATGCTGATGCGATGATGCAATGCTACCGGGTAGTAGTAGTAGTAGTGCCTCATCGTTATATTCCTTGTCCGCCATAAAAGTGGATGGTTGTGCTCGATGATGTGCTACGACTAATGCTGTCGCCGCTGCCGCTACACGGGTGCTGTCTTTAATGGTGAGATGGCGATGGTGATGTTGGCGACAAGGTGCAGCTGCACGAGGTGGTATTGAGGTGGGAGTGACCCCTGGGGTTGAGGTATTGAGGTGGGAGCGGCCCATTCAAACCCCCCACTAGGCGTTTGAATGGCCAAGTGACCAATGACCTAATGACCAACGGGCCCTTGTCGCGGGTGGCCCTCATTACCGTTACGGGTTACTCGATGGCATTTACTGGTGGTGGCAAATCAAAGGCATCCTGCTGATGGTGAATGTGGCGGTACGTGTGACGTTGGATAACCCCGTATCCGAATACGCGGCCAATATCGGTCATCTTTCAATCAGTCGGTTCGCGCATAGGACCATACAGGGGTCCCCTCCAGTCCCAGTCGAATTCGTGAAAATTGATTGAGGGCGCACAGCAAAGCATGAAACGGAAACAAACAAACGGCACAACCAAAACAGGCGGCAACCGCAACCGCGGCGAAAATGGGACTTACGACATCACAACATGACACACCAACTCATATATACAAGTTCCTGTGTACCTACCCTCCTCCACCATCATCCTAAGAGAGCCCCACCGTACGGCACTACTGCAAGAGCGGACGGATTTCCTGCTTCAACAAATTGCGTTCTGTGGGTATATATGATTTCGACTACGTACTTGCCACCAGGTCGGGACGGGACCACGTCAGGTCGCCAGCCTTTCCCTTACATCATCAAAGCCATAGGCACCCCTCCTCAACTCTGGCAATTTGGCCGCGGCCGCTCTTGGCCTCCTGCCACCCGCCCAATCACCCAATCGGAAGACTAGAAATCCCCCCCCCCCGCCCTACATGGCGGCGGTGATGGCTGCAGTGATGCCGTTCCCCCCCTCGTTGGAGGTCCCTTCACTGGTGCAACCCCGCCGCCCCCCGGACCGCCACCGCCAACGCCGCCCAGTCCTTGTCAGCGAGCCCGGCGGCCTTGGCGGCCAGCAGGTGGTTGAATGCCACGTCAGCCTGAAACCCAATTGGGGGGGGGAAGGGGGGATGAGGGAGGGCTGAGGCCGGGAGGAGCTCGGGAACAGTCCAATCACGAATGTAAAACCCTAAAACCCTAAAACCATGATCTCCGTAATCCCCACACATAGCGCTGCTGGAATGGCCACCTTCTAGACCACCAAAAGCCCTCCAGCTACCAAGCTTTCCAACTAACTTTCCATTCCCGCACCTCCGCTGCATTGGGGGGTCTTCTGGTGCGATTGCCGTCCAACATGCCACCTAGCCTTTAAGCTGCACCTGCTGTCACATTCATTTATAAAGCAAGGGAATGATGCCCTGCCCCTAAAGGGAACCCGCCTCTCCTCTTTCCCCTCCCCACCCAACCCTCCCTCCGATTCCCACCCACCCCTCTCCCCCCCTAACCCCAAACCCCGACCAACCGACACACCAGCGGTAGCGGCATCTCACTGTCCTCCGCCAGCTTGCGCATCAAATTGACGTCCTGGCGTCGTACAGCCGTACAGCCGCCGTACAAGAAGCGTCAGGGTCAGGGTCGGGTCAAAGGAGGAGAGCGCAGTGCGCAGGTGGTGTCATGTTGTCCGTGGTTGTTTGTGGCGATTATGGTATTTGTGTATAGGTTGGTTGTATGTTGGTTGTCGTACCGGTACGAGCGAAGTCCCGGAGGGTGCGAAAAGGCCGAGGAAGGGGAGGGGGTTGCAAGAAGAGAGGAGGGGAAAACTACGATGCTGATGTTGTCGATAATGACGACGATAAAACATTGATAGTGGTAATGATATAATAGTGATAGAGATAGACGGTGATATTGATAATGATGATAACAATTTCATGGTGACGCAAACCCTACAACAGCAACCCAGACCAATTGTACGAGAAAAGCCGCTGGTCCCCTTTCCAAAACCCCTGTAAAACTCTAAAATCACGAAACCTCCAAAATATAACCTATAAAACCCTAAACCCTTCCCCCCTACACACACACACACACCCCACACACGCACCTTCAGTCCCAACGTTACCGTGAAACCCAGTCCTGCGTCGAAAGCATTGGCAGCGATCCTGGAGCAGTACCCGCTGACGATGGGCACCGGCAATATCTCGTTAATGAAGGCCACGTACTTGTCACTGAGGGGTTGGAAGGGTGTGGGTGTGGGTGTTTTGATTTGACGAGGTGGTTGAGGTTGTGGGGGGAGAATGGGGGATAGGAGGGGGATTAATATTTAAGTGCAAAGATTTGGAAAGAAACGGAGGGGATGGGCGAAGCGGGCGGTATGGGGGGACACGACAACGTCATGTGCCGCCCATGTCAATAGTTTTGTTGAAACCCTAAAACCCGTTTTCATCCCACCCGCCATTTACTCAAGCCTATCCATTCACCCCCGCCAACGGTGTGTAACTAAATGCTCCCAAGTACGACAACGTCCCAACCACCAACCGCTCCTCCATCCTACCCTCATTGCGCCGCCCTCCCAAGTGCCCGTCCTCCCTCCGCACGCACATACATACACACATACATACACATATACACGCACCGCTCAATGCCGTTCTTCTCAGCCAGCGTCATCCCCTCGGATAGCAACTCAATCAGCGAAACTGGGGCGGGTTGGGGCGGTTGGGGGAGGCTGAAAAGGCGGGAGGTGAAATGAATCCCAAACGCATATGTGCGCAAAGAAGCCGGAGATACCCGACTTACATACATACACATACAAGATACTCAGATGCATGTCACACACAGCTCGCCCTAGTGACAGAGGTTCGCCACAATCGCTTGGAGAGTGTGTGTGTGTGTGTGTGTGTGTGAGGGGGTAGGTGTGTGTGTGGCCTTACTGGTCATTGCCTTGCCATCCTTGTTTGGTATGGTGAGACAATTTCGTACATCCGTACACCCGTACTGTTCACGTGGCCACCACAAACACAAACCTGATACGCACATACATACACGCACACATCCGTACACACCCTTAAAAACACATCCGTACACTCACCCAAATGGAAGTTTGCCAGCAGTTTCATCATGTGGGCCTTGTGGGCCTCCCGACCCAGATCGAGAACCTTGCGACCCATAGCACTGCACGTGTACGGCAATGTGGAAAGGTATGTACGGCAGGTACGACAATGCCGTAGACAGTGGCCTAGACGTAGTGCATGTCCTGCGCCTAGTCGGGCTAGTGGCAGCCAAGCCCCTACAGCCCCTACAGTCACGTCATTCCTAGCCAAGGAACTGCCCACATGCGCACTATCACCCACTTCACAGCATTCAAAGTAAGAACGCAGACGGAAAAATAGTCGATAGTCAGCCCCGCATTCATGATGGTAGAAGGGGTAACGGAGGCATGCCGTACAAACCTTAGGTACGGCATGACGAGCTTCTTGGCCTCGTCCGGGCCCGAGCAGAAGATGAGGAGGTTCGCAGCGGCGGCGGCATCCGGCCTGGTGGAGAGGAAAAGGGGTGGGGGGTGAATGAGGGGTTTTCATGGGGTGCGAGTATCTATCTTTTTTGACACGCACCTGACGACGTGTGCGGAAAGGGCCTTATGTGGAATGCAGTGCAGAAGGCAGCGCGCATGGCGCTGAAAAGATAACCTTGCTTTTTTAAATCGCTACCATTCGATTACATATCCACGTGTGTACGGATTTGTCCTTGAGGCATGCACATTTCTACGTCATCCTTGTACGACACCTTACCGTCCGAGAACCGGGCAGGCCACGTAGAGCGCGCCCACCGCTTCCGCGGCGGCGCTCATCATCTTTGTGGTTTCGGGGCTAACCGTACTGCAGTCCACAAGCACGCGCGCCGGCTGGAGGGTTTCCAGCGCGGCGGGGTTCGTGCGGCTTGCGCTCTCTTGCGCGGCGATGATCTGACCCATAACTTGACGGACCGCCGCGTCGTGGGACAGCATTGTGAAGATGACGTTGCAGGTCAGCGCCATGTCGGCCAGGTCAGCCTTGACTTGGAGGCGAAGCAGCGCCGGATCTGATGTAAAGGCCTCTAGCTTTGTGTGATCTCGGTTAAACACCGAAAGCGGCTGCTCCTGGGAGTTGAGGTGCATAGCGAGGCACTTGGCCATGCCTTTGCCCATTGCGCCCAGCCCAACGAAACCCACTTTGGGGATGATTACGTTGGAGTTAGTTTCGTCAGACATCATTTTAGCTTTATTTGATGATTGTGGATGAAGATGATTGGCAAATGTTCTTGTTGGAAGTGTTGTCTCTCGGTTGTGTCTCTGTCCCCGAAACCAACGGCTTTTGTAATCCAACAGGTCCACGCCTTGACAGCTACCATACAATATTCCTAGACATTAAGCTTTGATGGGGTAAAGCCATTACGTTGTACAACGATGGATTTAAAAGGCGGATTACCGGCTGAGGATGACATGGTTACGCTGCGGGCGGCGAATATCGCACTTAAAGCGCAAAACATAAAACTTCAACGAGCAGTAGCATCTCTGCAAGAGCAGCTTGCTGCGCTGAAGTTCGAGCTTTTAGGCCACGGTGGAGCTGTCGGCTCCGGCACCGGAGAGGCGTCGAAGGACGAAAGCGTGAGCCGAATTGCGCTTTCATTTTATCATAATTTCTCAATTCCACGTGGGCCTGTGTTTCACATTCTTGTTTCACATTCTTGCACTCTCTTCTCATCTGCCCTTTTTACCAGCATCGACCTGCCGACCCATCCCATCCCTAAGCTTCCCACTCAAACTTCGCAAGACCCCCGCACTTCAAACCTCTGCATAAACCTCCAGCTCCCTTTTATGTCACTCACTCCTCTCTTTTCCAAAAAAACGCCATCCTCCACGCCCAACACTTTATGGCACGACCTGCCAAGGCGCCTCTCCTCTCCCCTTCCCTTTCCTCTATTCTTTTCAAACGTATCACCGTAATGCCCCCCCAGGGTTTCACCTCCTGGCATTGCGCTTCCCCACCAAACTCCCATCCCCCCCACTCTTGCCCTGGCAGCAGCTTCACTCGTTTGTGGTTCGTCTTTCCCCCCCATCCCCCCCCCAATCCTCACCACCTATCACCAGGCGCCCAACAAGTCCCCTCCACAGCCGCCTCCACCTCGCGCCGCGCCTCGTCACGGCCTCAACCGTACTCAGGCCGAGCGCTACAGCCGCCACCTGCTGCTGCCTTCCTTCGGAGTAGCGGCTCAGGAGCGACTATGTCGCGGCTCGGTGCTGGTGGTGGGTTGCGGGGGACTGGGGTCGCCGGTGGCCATGTACCTGGCGGCGGCGGGAGTGGGTAAGTGCGTGTATGTATGTATGTATGTATGGCTGGCTGGCTGGCGGAAACTACACGTGCTGTGAACGCGTGCTGCCGAGTAATCCATTGCCGTACACATTCCAAGCAGCGAAGTTGCAAAACTGGTCGTGGGGAAGGGGGAGCTCTCACAAGCAGAAGCCAAGTCAGGGGGGGGGTGAGGGGGATGAGGGGGTAATCCTGACGTGGCAGGAAGTGTGACAACTATCTCCCGGGGGCGGGAACACACACACACACACACACGGAGGGGAGACTGGATCACGGTGTGACCTGTGGGGGGGGGCTCCGCTGTCCCGATGGGGGTCCTGGTTGGGGGCTCAAGGGGGGGTTGAGGAGGGGGCAGGGCGGCGGCGGACAAGAGCTTGCATGTCGGCGGGAATGAGGGATGAGGGATGCGGGATGGAGTGTGAGTCAGGGTTTTGGGGACGGTACGGCGGTTTTATGGCGTTTTTTTCCACTTTTCCTGGCCCCTTTGGGAGTAATCGTGGGCCTCCGCGTTCGTACACATGCATTTGGTTGTCCCGCATAAAGCGAGCAGACGTACACGGTGTGCCGTACAGGTCGCCTGGGCCTTGTGGACCATGATACGGTGGACGTCACCAACCTGCACCGCCAGGTCGGTACGTCTGTATGTGCGTATGTACGTGTATATGTATGTACGTTGTTACAGGGTGGTTAAGCTTCACCAGCGGCCCCCTTTCCCGAGGCAGTCCCTGCTCTCCCCTGCGAGAGGGTCACCCTAATCCATTCACCCCATCCGACTTCAGAATGTATTCGTTGGGTTCAGCAACTCACTACCAGCATCCAACCAAATCTAATATGTATGTATGTCGTGGGGCGTGTGAGGGTTTGGAAGGTTGCAGAAGACGTTTCCGTCGTGGTTGGCTTCGTACGGAACTCCCCCCCTGCTTTCCCCCTCCTCTTCCCCCCACATACACATACACACACACGCCACTCAGGTCCTCCACGCCACCAGCCGCGTGGGGATACACAAGGCGGTGTCCGGGCGGATCACGTGCGCCGCCATTAACCCGACCATAGAGGTGGGTGGGGGGTTGGGGGGGTTGTTGGGTGTGTGGGTGTATGTGGGGGGAGGAAGTCACTAGCAGTAGCAGTAGCAGCCGTACACGGGCCCGCATGACACCACGTGACCGCGTACGACTCACTAGGGGCCGTTTCGGGCCCCTCTTGAACACGGCAGCAGCAGGCGTTCGCTTCTCTACCTTTCCCACGTATGGTGTCCCCTCCCCCCTCCCCCCCTGGCAGCAGCTTCACTCGTTCGTGGTTCGTCTTTCCCCCCTCCCCCCCTCACCTCACCTCCCCCCTCCCCCTGCCCCTACCCCCTCCCCCAGCTCTCCCCCTCACGCCACGATGACATGCCGATGGTACCGCACCACGGTGCGATCCTCCTTCTGACCCCCCGCAACCCGAACAGCCACCATGTTCGACCACCTGACGTCTGTCCTGTCGTTTTTACTACCGCTACCTTGCACACCTCGTCATCTGTAACAGCATTGCAAAACCCACAACCCCCCCCCAGATTGTGGCCCACACTGCGGGTTTTTCCCCCGCCACCGCCCTGGGGTTAGTGGATGCGTACGACGTGGTGGTGGACGCGTCGGACAACCCTGCCACCCGCTACCTCGTGAGGTGTGTTTGGCGACACGGAGGGGGGGCGGGGCAGGGGAGGGGGGGGAGGGACAGGGGGGGGCCACTCAGGCGATGAAGGGCTGGAGGGAATGCAGCTAACTGTCATGCATACAGTGTACGATATGTGTATTTGACTGGGGGGTGTGGCGTTGCGTGTTGGCGATGTGTGTATTTATTTCTTTTTGACGAAAAGGCTCTTCCCGGGGCTTTCCTACGCACGAACCCGTCGATGCCGCCGCCTCCGCCAATTCAATTACCTGACCTATTTAGAGTAGGGACGTGCAATACGATTTAAGTGAAAGAAATGCTTTGTGATTATTGTTTAGACGATTATGTATGATGCTAAGGAATGTATACGGCATTACTGTACACGGCATTACTGAAAAAATGTAGAGAGAGAAATTAGAAAAGAAAGTTTTCCCGCCTCCCGGAGAATCGGCAGCCCTTGTCAGACCAGCTGCTCCAACCCCATACCTGAAATGCCGTACCCTGCATATGCCGTACAATGTCGTACAGTGATGCCTGTGTGGTGTCCGGCAAGCCACTGGTGTCAGCCGCGGCGGTTGGTACGGATGGACAACTCACAGTGTACAACTATGGAGATGGTACGGAAGAGTACGGGAGAATGGAAAGTTTCTGACGGGGCTTTCTCTCGCCTTACATTATGTGTGTTTGTGTGTGGCATTCGCTTAGCTCCATTGCCCTTCCTCGCCGCACCGTTACGAATGGCGTTGTCGTACATGTCCGTCCCCGCATACCGAACAAAACACATCCAACCCGCGTGTCAATCCCCGTGTAAAACCCCAAACACACCAACACACGTCCCCGCCCCGGTTTGAACACCCCCGGAGCGCCTCAAGACCACAGGATAGAGTGATTTCCCATTGCGCCGTTTTCGCACACACACACGGACTTACCCCCATCCTCCCATCCCCCTCCACACATACACCCACACAAACACAAACACAAACACACACACGCACACGCACAGGTCCTTGCTACCGGTGTTTGTTTCCCGAGTCGCCGGCTCCTGAGAACTGCAGTCGCTGCGGGGAGGCCGGGGTGCTGGGGGTGGTGCCCGGGGTGATGGGCTGCCTGCAGGTGTGTGGGACGGGGGGGAGGGGGGGGAGGGGGGGCGGGGGGAAATACGGGCGGGGGTGTGAACTGGGGGGGGGGTAAGATGGGGGAAAGGATGGCGGCGACTGCTATCCTCGGCGGGATGTGCCCGGGTAGGGTGGGGAAGGGTAGGCGGAGGTGCCACTGATTTGAGTTGGGGGGAAGTACTTTCCATTTTCACCCCCTCCCCCCTCCCCCTCCCATCCCCCTCCCCACCTCCTCCCCCCGCTCCCCCCCGCCGCCTCCCGGAAGGCTCTGGAGGTCATCAAGATTCTAGGTCGCGTGGGTGACGTCAGCTCCAAGAAGTTGACCATTTTTGACGCACTGGCAGGTACGACATGTGTGCCTGTGTGTGCGTATGTATGTATGTATGTTAACCCCAACTCGGTTGCGTTACCCAGAGAAGTGCAACTCGTCCATTGGACCCACAACTTACGTTTACCTAGTTTAACACGAAGAGAGAGCGAGAGACGGAACATAGGGCCTCTTGCAGCTTCAACTGAGGCGCTTCTGTATGTCGCGAAGTTACCCTCGGTGCCGTACATAAGGCCCCGAGGTAAGGGGCCTTATCAACAACTGGTATCGATTCACCGCACAGAAGGTGAGGAGCGCGTTGCACTCTCCTCTCCTTGAGACAGGAGGACATGCGTTAGCGAGAGCTTCACGGAGTGTGTGCAAACACCCGTACCAATCACATGTACGGATGGCGTAGGCGTAAAACCCCTCGCTGCCTCCCATCCCCACACTCCCCCACACTCCCCCACGCTCCCCCACACTCCCCCACACTCCCTCACACCTACTTTCCCACACAGGTCGCTTCACAACAGTGCGGCTCCGGAACCGTAACCCGGCGTGTGTCGCCTGCGGCACCTCCCCCGCCATCACCCGCGGCAGCCTGCCGTCGTACGACTACGTGGCCTTCACCGGTCAGCCGCCGGACGACGGACCGCCCGAGGACGTCAGGCTCATTGACCCACGGGTCAGATTGGAGCCGCACCAGGTCGCCGAAATCCTCACCCGTCTCCAACAGGAGGAGCAACGACCAGATACGCAGCAGCAGGAGGAGGGGGAGGAGGGGGAGGGGGAGGGGGAGGGGGACGCAGCGGCGGAGGCAGAGGTGGTTGGAGACGAAGCCCAGCAGCAGCAGCAGCAGCAGCAGCAGCAGCGGAGGCGGACGACGGCGACGACGGTGTTCCTGGATGTGCGGCCTAAGACGCAGTACGACGTCATGGCGCTGCCAGGCGTCGTACATGTGCCGTACGAGCGCTTCGAGGAGCGATTACCGGAGGTGTTGGCGTTGATCGCGGGTACGGCAAGGTCCATGACGCCCCCCCCACCTCCTCCGCCTCCTCCTCCTTCTGGCTGCACCACCACCAGCACCACCACCAACTTCACCACCGCCACCTCAACTGCTACTGCAGTGACCACATCTGCATCAGGCTGCGGAGCATCTCGATGTCGTACGGACGGCCTCACGGGAATCAGGCGGAGCAGCGGCGGCGGCGGCGGCGGCGGCGGAGGAGGAGGCGGCGTCAGCGGCGGCGGTGACGGTCCCGTGGATGCATTAGCGGCTGATGGTCCACCTGGCGGTGGAGGAATGGAGTCAGTGTACGGCGGGGGAGTCGGGGGAGTAGGCGGGGGGTTGGAAGTGGGTGGGGGGTTTGCTCCCGGGGCACGTACCCCGACCCCCCGTGTGGTGGTGTTATGTCGGCGAGGTAACAACTCCCAGCGTGTGGTGGCGAGGCTGGCGGGGGTGCTGGGGGCGGAGGGGGTGACCGACATGCTGGGCGGGTACGCGGCCTGGGCGCGGGAGGTGGACCCGGATATGCCGCTGCTGTAGCGCGAGATGAGCCGCGAAAGGCGGCACAGAGCGGTTGCAGAGCGAGGTCAGGCAGCTGTAGCAGGAGCTATAATGGTGGTGGTGGTAGTAGTAAGAGCTGTAGCACCGGGTCTACATATCGCTGGATGGGTCCTGGCGACCCAGCAGTGCACAGCAGCCCGGGAGAGCCCAGGGGGGGGGTTGGGGTTGGGCAGGTGTGTTTGCAAAGTCGGACAAGGGAGGGAGGTAAGGGGAAGTTGTACGACGTGAAATGCCAACGAACCAACGGGCGACTTGTTAAGATGGAAAAGGGAGGGAGGGGAAGGAAGGGGAAAGGAGGGAGGGAGGAGGAGAGGGAGGGGGGTTTAAGGGGAGGGAGGGGGGAAAGACGGACTTTAGCGGTGTTGGAGCCTGGGCATGAAAGGTGTGAGACAAAAAGGCCCCGGAGGGGGAGGGGTCCTTTAGGGGGGTTGCGAATGTGGGAAATGCCGTACTGGACCTGACGTAGTCATGGGTTGAAGTGATACTTGAGCTGTTCAGTACGAAGGGCTTGTGGGCTGTACGACACGTGGTAGAGCGGAAGGTGGAAAGCCGCAACGGCCTTGCTATGCTGCGGGTTAGCACACAGACACACACACACACACACACACACACACACACACACACACACACACACAGACATACACACACAGAGACGCACACACAGACATACACAGACATACACACACACATCAAGCATCGCAGATGCCATTTGCATTCATTTACATGGGAGTGCCAGTTCTCCGCTCTCTGGTTGACGGGGCAGTGTTGCGAGGGGAGGTAAAGGGCTGTGGCTTTCCGGCATGGGGAAATTAGCCTTTTGCAGGTTATGCCCCTGGAAAGCCTATTTAGGCCTCTCCCAGCCACCACACGTTTGCATACCCTGCGGATCGCGTAATGCAGAAAACGGACCGCAGCAAAGCCAAACCAGCTACGACCTACTTGAGGCAGGAACGCAGCCGCCTGCCTGCGAATTTTCCTGTCAAGAGGAATAGGACCGGTCCCGAAGGTGAAGTGGGCTGTCTGGCGACCTCTGATCCCAGTTGCATTGATGAACGTTCCTGCGTACGGTAGAGTATAGGGCTACCGCTCCGAAATCACGCGTTTCTGCACCTTGAAGAAACGTTTGGGTAAAATTTACTTGTGAGGGCCAAGTAAAGATCAACTCAGTGCAATAAATCTGGTAACAAGAAGGAACAGCTACCCGCTTTGTTATCGACGTGCAGCTACGCAACGCTTAACCGGCCTGCGTAGGTAAACGTCCGCTGGTTCTGGAATTTCATGTTGATTGCTCGTGATGCCGAGATGTTTCATAGAAAATATCTTGTATAAAGTTCGTTTTGTAAGCTTCAGTTGGCGATGACCACTTTAGCTGCACTATAGTTTTGCTGTATACCGTATGACTCCTAACAGAAAGGAGAAAGGTTCCAAGCATGGACAATTTGCAACGACAGATTGATTATGTCAGTCAGGCGTTGCCTTGCAATGCGACACTTGAGCATGTCTCGTCGCAAATGCGGATCTGCCATTTAGCTATACCATGGTGTTCGCGACATCTCCACTGGCAGGTGCGGAGGCTTTGTAGCATTCTGCTTATCACGCCTAATCTGCTGGGCTTCCCATCGGATCACCATCGGCGCTTCCTAGTTTTACGTCGCCGGGCCCGGGCCCTGTTCAGCTGTCCGTACCGTCTGATATGTGAATCCCTTGAAATCTGCATAAATTGCCTAAGCGGAGCCTGCGAGCAAGCTGCAAGTTTTGCCCAATAAGCCAACTCCTTTAGGAAAGCCCGCGTTACTCCTCTCCTCCTCCTCACCCCCTCGGACCTCCCCCGCCACTCCCTCTCGCCGCAATCCCCTGACCCTGCCACATAAACACACAGGCACACACACAGACACACACAGACACACACACAGGCACGCGCACACAAATGTCGCACCGTCGGCATTTCCCTCATCGCCGCTCAGGTCCCTAAAACACCTCGCGCAGGTCCTCTTTCCCCGGCCTTCCCCGCTGGGCTCCGCACCACCCGACCTCCTCTTCGACGACGATACCTTCCTGCCACTCTGCGGGCCCCCCCCCCACCTGGCCCCTGACTCCCCCCCGCCGCGATCTCAACCCCACCCGGGAGCAAGCCCCTCCCCATCCTCCGGACCAGCCGCCGCCGCCGCCGCCGCCAGCAGCCGCCTAGCTACCCTTCGGGCCCTGCTCCGTAGCCGGGCTTTCCTTCCACCACCGCCACCACCGCCACCACCGCCACCACCACCATCATTAGCACCGCCTCCGCAGCCTCCGCCTCCGCCGCCGCTACTACACGGCCTATCCGCATCTTCATCACCAGCATCTCAACACCAACAACAGCAATGTCATCATCATCATCACCATCAGCAGCAGCAATTTCAGTTGTTTCAGTTGGTTTCGGAGCTGCTGGCCGCGTACCGTGATCACCAACTCGCCAAGTTGGTAGCTGTTGCATCTGGTGGTGGTGGCGGCAGTTCCCTCCCCAGATTGCAGTTTGAGTTGAGCACTTTGGAGTTGCTGGGGCCAGGAGTACAATTGGACTTGCAACATCAGCAGGTGGTTGGAGGGTGGTTGGGAGTTGGTTGGTTAACGGCCGAGAGGTTGGAATTGGAGTAAGATGAGAACCCTTAAAACCCTTAAAATCAAGTCGTACAATCCCGAAGCAGTGATTGGTCGTTTTGGAGATGAGGATGAGGATGTTGGTTCGCGGGGTGAAGGAGAGGATGTGAGAGGAGCTTGCGGCTGAACCCAACGTCTCCTTAAAATCGTGTGTGTATGTGCGTGTATGTGTATTACGCTCCTCTAAACGCACGTACACACACATACACGCTGTGGCCTTCCGCCTCCTTAAAATCCCCTTACACCCCACCCACCCCCCGATCCCCCCTCTTCCCCCCCAACACACATACACACAGGCCTGCTTCAATCTGCGCCTGGCCCCCCTGGAGCTGCGGCGACTGTTGGAGCTAAGCGAGATGTACGGCATCCGCGTGCCTTCGGCGCCGGTACTTCAACCACCACCGCCACAACAACAACCGCCAACCGCCGGAGAGTTCAGCGCAGCGGGGCCGTCGTCACCTTCCCCCCACCCCCACCCCCACCCCCACCCGTACCACCCCTATCAACATAGTCAGCACCCTGACTCTCAGCCCCAACCCCAGCCCGCCGCCTCAAGGGGGCCGCAACCAGGTGTGCTGCAGTGCTCGGAGGCGGCGTCGTCCCCCCCGCCAACATGGGCGGTAGCAGCTCCCGGTCTCCAGGCCAAGGGCGGCTGTAGCAGCGGTGCCGCCGGCGCCGATGGAGGAGATAGCAGTAGCACTGACGCTGTCACGATATCTGGGTCGACGCTACAGCCACACCAGCAGCAGCAGCAGCAGCAGCTTGGAGGTGGCTTGGTTGTTGTTGGTGGTGACACTGGTGGTGGTGGTGGTGGTGTCCTGACGGACTTTTCGCTGTTGGCCACCTTCCGTCTGCCCGGTCCTGGTGCTGTCTCCGGTGGTTCGGGTGGGGGAGGGGACGTCGGCGACCCCGAACTGACTTTGCAGGTGTGCGGGTGGGGGGTTGTGTGTGGGGTTGGGGGGATGCGGGGGTGGGGTTGGGGGATATGGGGGTGAGGGATTGCATGTGTGTATTGGAGCCGGGGATGCGGAGGGTGAGCGGGGGTTGGGTGGGTGGGAGGTGATTGGGAGGAAAAGTGGGGAGTACGTGGCGGGGGACAGCGGAGGGCGGGACGAGGGGAACTCAAAATGTTGGCAGGTACCATTCGGCCAGAGGTGAAGGTACGGCGGTACGGAGGAAGCCACATGGCTAGCATGCGTTGAAGAGTATGTTGTTAATGTTTTTCTTGTGGGCGTTTAGTCTGAGGTGGGGCCGCCTCATGGTGGGCTCTCCCCACCCCCCGGCGTACGGTGTACGAGCAAATACCCCGCATACACCAACCACACCAGCATCACCGTCCGTCATCATCACCATTTCCAGGCACTGTCAATGCCCTGTCTTTCAGGCAGTGATGGTGGTATGGTTTCCGACACCCCACTTTACCCCCCACTTGTCCCCTCCACCTTAACTTTCCCCACCCACCCCCCC